AGGCCTAATAAAGGAGGGCCTCTGTCACTCCAGGTTTCCCCCATTTTAGATGCAGCTAAACTCAGCTACCATTTCACAGCCCTACAATATTCACATGTATCCTGCTGACAACATTACACTGTGACAGCTGATTCTGCAGTCTACACAACTCAATCAAATTGTTTCTAATAAGAGAAAGTCTGTAAATATGCCCATTTGTTACAGATGAAATGTGCTCCGAGTGAAAAAGCATATCGGGGGGGGGGGGGGGGGGGGGGGAAAAAAAAAGGCCCCTTCTTTTTACTGACCCCATGGGTTTCGTTAACCAAAAAAAGGATTGAACGCAGGTGTCATGAATGTTGAATGAATGTCAGAAATAGATATGCTAAAAGCCCAACCCAGACCCTTCCATGACAGTCCTATAAATAGGGATGGTAGGCTGGCTGGGGTTTTAGATGATACTGTATGTGCTCTCTCACACTCAAAGTGCCAAGCTATTTTTTGTGTATGTGTGTGTGTGTGTCTAGTTAAGTGATAAATGTTGTACTGAAGGTGCAGAAAGAAGTGATTGGCCACAAATAGCTCCATCACATGCTGTGGCATGTGGGCCGGTGCGTGTCTCCATCAACGCATACACATCCCTCCTAGAGGGGACCCCCACAGGACTGTAAACATAGCATCCTAATACTGTATACTGCAGTGGCCAAGGATCAGGTGGCTAGCGGTGATAACCCAGTGCTTCTTATACATGTGTGTTCACATGTTAAGTCGTACGTGCGTGTGGTTGTGGTTGTATGTTTCGGGGTTGGATGTTATCCGTAGTTCCTTTTTGAATCTGAGTCGTGCACACGTCCCCGAGTGTTCACACATTTGTAATCCCTCCAGGGCAGGTGCCTTATAATAGAGCACCGTTAAACGCTGTGCAGTCAGAAGTGTCGATGTGCGGATGGTGTGCGCGAGCGAGATGACGGCGTGTGTGAGGATGTGAGTGCATTTTCTCACCGGTTTTAGGCAGAGCAGCTTTCATTGGCTCCCAGACTGGGGGTATAAGTGTATTACATAATAGGGTTGGCAGACAGAGGGAGGACGGACCGCGAGACTCACTCAGTGCGTCGGAACGAGAAGCCTCGTGCGCCAAGGACCACCACCTCGAACCTCTTCCACAAAGAGAGATTTAATTATCATGATCGTGTGAGCCGGACTTCTCCATGCATACACTCTCTGAACAGTTCCATGCCACAAACATGGTAAGGCTGGCAAAAGGCGTGTTTGTGTGTGTGTGTGTGTGTGTGTGTGTGTGTGTGTGTGTGTGTGTGTGTGTGTGCGTGTGCGCGTATGTGTGTGTTTGCTCGGGGAGGCTGTAGGTGCTTTGCTGCAGATGTGCTACGGCTACAGATTGAGGAGGATGTTGGAATGCAGTGTAGCTGCCAGTGCTGTGAATGCTGATGTGTTGTGCTGCAAAGACGATTTAAGTGAATCTGCTCTCTGTTTTCACGTTTCCCTGTCAAAGCATGAAACGGAGAGTCCGTGTGCGTCTGTGTCCGTGTGCAGGGACGGATTCCTCTGCATTCATTTGCATTGACCCAAATACAGGTTTCGCGGTTTAGAAGCGGCAGTTCCACTCGTCGATCTTTGATGTTGCAACCGCAGTGTAACTCTCCCGATGACACAGGTCCTTACGGCCGGCAGGCACTCAGGCAACGAGGAGTTTTGTGGCGAGACTCATCTGTGTTTTGGTGTGTTCACTGCATGCCGTTTGATCAAGCTAGGTATGAGGTTGTTTGAAGGCTTGGGATTGGGACGATTGATTGTAAAATGCCTTTTTTAATAGATTCAGACATGTAGAGGGGTAAAAAGATGCACCGTATTGGGAAGGGCAGCACTGATCTCATTAGGGAGATGGGGGGGGGGAGAAGGGAGGCGGGCAAGGAGGAACATTGGTCGTGAATGGATCTCTATCGCTCCCCCTCACCCTAGGGCTGGGCCGTATACCGGTTCTAACGGTATACCGGTATTAGAATTCCGTGCGGTATGAATTTCTGGCGTAGCGTTCATTCCGGTGTTACGCCGTAATAACTGACGTTGCTCTTCGGCAGGCGGCAGAATTTATCATCATGGAGCGCCCGAGCGGTCGTACCTACTTGTCTTACGTGAGTTGAGATTGAGTCACGGTTATAACTTTTTAACAACAACGAATAACGCACAACAAACACTCTTTACCAGGGCTTTTACCAACAATTTGTAACACTAATGATTGTATATTTATAACGATGACCGCGCCGAACTGCATGCTGGGTACAGCTCACAACCAATAAGTAACTATAAGTTTCTACATGAAAACACGGAAAAGAGCGATACGCGAGGACAACGAGAGACCAGAAATGCAGTAACACAACTTGTGCCCAAGAGAGGAACTGTGTCTGTTTGGAGAGTTTTGGGTTTTGGAAAATCTGACGTGAATTAGATTTATTGCAAAATCTGTCGAGCCGCTGGTATTGCCTCTGGTGGCAAAACTAGCAGCCACAACAAGCTAACACGCTAACGAGCTAACACTCTAACACGCTGGCCAGTTGCGAGCGAGTTGGCCAGCGAGCGGCGAACAGCTGTTCGAATAGCATGCGGTCCTTTTTTCGGGGTCAATGAATGAATGTGTTTACTTGAAAAAGCAATACCGTGATATACCGGGATACCGTCAGAATCTTTCTAAATTCCGTGATATGGATTATCGGCCATACCGCACTCTACCTGTCTGTGTGCGATATTACAGCAGATCGATGGGGATTGGAGAGATTGAGTGGGGCCGAAATTGGCGTGGTCCTGGAGCATGGGTTGCAGAATGGGTGGGGGCCGGTGATTTTGAGAAAGGGGACATTGTAGGAGAGCGAGAAACAGGATTGACCTGAATGACTTACGCTCTTCTACGGGTGCTGTTTCAGGCAGAGGCCGCGATGTCAGAGGGGGCGACCAAGTACAGTGGATTTGGCTTCTACTAACTGCGTTGGATTTTTTTTTTTGACTCTCCAATTTTGCCCTACAATTCCCTTTACTGAATCCCGAAGGATTTTTTTTAGAACTACTATTCATTCGTCCTGTTTCCATGGCAGCGTGACACATGGGTAGATCTTTTGTGACCCCAGCTCCAAACCTTATGTAATACCTGATTGAGTCAGGCTTCTCAAAGCGATCTTTGATCTTAAACCTGCATGCACAGGCCAACACTATGTGCCTTTGATTTAACATTAACATGGAAATCAACATATGAACGGATTTTCTGCCGGGAAGAGCTTGTCATTTTAATATTTAATGGAAGGGCAATGTTGTAGATAATCGGTGGTCACTCAGAGGGCACGCACTCTTAAATTTGGAAATATTCTGGTGCATGCTGAAGTGTCAGTGAAGCATCCTCATCTGTCACCATGGCGACAGCTGTTCTCTCCCTTCCAGGCATAGACATCCCTCCTTGTGTTCCCTCCTCTGACATGATTGTCTTATACCCCCGGTAGCTGTCTCAGTAAGTCAACATGGAAGTAGACATGTCCACAGGTTGAAGGGGCAAAGTCTTCTGCGTGAGAGATCGGATATTTGCGCGCGCCCGAGGAGACGTGGGGGGATGATGTCGTTTTTTAAAACAGACATACGCACACAATCTGCTGTGCCTCACCCACCTTCCTGCAAACTCACTGCATCAGCACATGGGTGGAATAACATTTCGGCACCGTGATGAAGTGCATTTTAAAAAGGTTAATTTTGTAAGAGGCACAGCAATCTTGAAAGGATGGAAGAAAAACATTTAGAAAGCAACAGTAGCTCAATATTAATATGCAAGTACCAATTTTGCAAGAACCAAAGAACCAATTTAACGTCCATCCATGCCACATCCCTGTCTCAAGGCCTTTGATAGCTCCTTACCTGGAGCCTAAGCAGCTCCTGTCAGGCTCTGTTAGCACTGGCTGCTCTGCCCACTGCCCCGGGGAGTGGATGCATGGTTAGCTCTGGAGTGGAAGATGTTGATGAACACTACTTTGCAGAGACCAATCGGAACAAGCCGTCGTGGCAGACGTGCCACGGATGCATACAGGGGTTGAATGCATGCAAAGTTAGGCTGCACGCGTGTTGCGTATTCTTTGCGCACACCCCAAGGCCACAGAGCCGAGAGCTCAGTGTGATGGATGGTGCGGCTCGGTTAGATGGATGATGTCAGAATCAGGTCCTTCTTGGGAACACTGTCTTCTGTCTGTTGTCCTTTAATGAGAACAACCTTTGGCCTCTCAAAATCCCCTGCAGCATGCTAAACACCTGACAGGCCTCCGTGTCCTTTCCCACTGCGCCCAATGCGCGCCTGGCAAAAAAGTTGACTCTGTTCTTGTTCATGCGCACCAGTTGTGCAATTGAAACATTTATTTCAGCGTTGCATAATGTCCACATTATTTATTCATGATGCGGAAATCAATAGAGGAGATTTGATGAGTCATCCTTCTGTGTTGTCAAAGACCGCGCTGCTGATAAAATAACACGCATAAGGGAAGGAAGATTATCCCTTCACATTTGTTTGCTCCTCAGCATTTATATTGCATTAACACATGTAATTATTCTAATGTCATAATGGGCCAATTACCATCCCAGTGTGGAGACTGGTTCTGTGCTTCTGAACGCCGTGTTGTTTCTCCACTAATGGCTCTGTCTTTTTTGTGTTGTTGCATTTTGTTGTGTTGTGCTGTCGCCTGCGTCGGACATTGTGTTGTTCTATTTGCAATCCCTAAACTGCCAGTGGGCCGTGGCTGTGAGGGAGTGTATTTGCATCCATTAGTAATCCGAGTGGGTTTAACAACAGGGATTCACACAGATCAAGGCCAAAATTAGGCCGAGCACTGCATTGCAATCACTTTTAAATTAGATTTAAATGCTGTTTTTGGTCACAGCGATCAATATCCATTGGACAGTTCCTGCGGAGCTCTTCACATTGTCTGGGATATGAGAATAAAACTTAATATATCGCCTGTCTTTCCCATCGCTTTCTCTAGTTGATAAGTGGAGGTTCAATCGTCAACGCTGAGGCGGTATGGGACCATGTGACCATGGCGGACCGGGAGTTGGCGTTTAAGGCCGGTGACGTCATCAAGGTGCTGGACGCCTCCAACAAGGACTGGTGGTGGGGCCAGATTGACGAGGAGGAAGGATGGTTTCCCGCCAGCTTTGTACGGGTGAGTTAGCCGCTTCCATGGCTGGCCAGCAACCATAGACACAACACACACCCACGCACACGCGTAGACGGAGGCACATGAACATATGCACACAAGCTGATAAACATGCAGGGGAAGGAGCACACAAGCATTCTGTCACATACACAAAAACCCACACGGACGCACACTGTTCAACATTACGCTATTTAGAGCACACGTAACACTCAAGAGATCTGAGAATAGCTGGCTAAGTGCCTTTATCGGGGTATTCAGGTGTTCTTCATTAACAATACAGATAAAGATGCTGATGAAGCCCTTTTTTTTTTGTTTGGCATCACATTCAGTTCCTACACTTAAAATCCACTTATATTTGAAGCGTCCTCATTTTACATTGTGATTAAGTATCACCCATACAATATGTGAGCTCAACTTAACCCAACACAGACGTCTGATGCGGCCGAAGGAAGAATGAGCATCCTTGTTTTCAGGTGGAGGCTTCCCACAGCCGAGCATCCCCCTTCACCTCCCCCAACCCCCCCCCCCACCCCCACCCCTCCCACCAACCCCCCACAGATACTCATCATGGCCATTCCCACTTGTCCAGCCTTCCCATATTCACTCCTGAGAGGGCAGGGCAGACAGGCTGACCGACTGTCAACCAAAAAGTATCTTTCTGTTCTGTCATTCTCTCTCTCCCAAGGTGGAACCCCACCCTCCTCAGCCCCAAACAAAACAGGTTTTCTATATCAACCCCATAGCAACTCCACGGTTCCAAACACACGTCAAAGGTGCGTTTTTTTTCCCCCACTCATCTACCCATCCAGCCTGCCCGCCCACCCGCCCGCTCCAGTCTGTCCACGCGGCGTTCCCACGACATCACCAAACATTAACGTTACGTCAACTAACAGGACGTCTTCACATCATTCTCGACGGGGGTCGATAGAGAGGGAGAACTGATAACTCGAATGTAAAGTAATGTTAAATGTCTCCTCAACGGCCTTCACTCAAATTCTGCAAAAGTGTTCGTATAAAATTGGATGGCTTTTGGAATCATTATTCCTGGTAATATTCATGGAGATTTTCGATTTGAAATATGTATCGTGCATTTTTCTGCTCTCTATTTACTGTTGACTCTATTAATTTACTATTTCTCAGTGTTTATGCAGCGCGACTAGTTCTAGCCTGCACTCAAAGCTCCACTACCCGTCACTCTGCTTGTCTGTGGCGCTGCATTTCTCATCTTGTGTTTGGCATTCTACCCCTCGGGTTCTTTGATGTTCTCTTGGCTAACTGTGTGTCATCAGGTGTTGGCTGCTGGACATCTGAAACCATGCACACGTGGCCCTTTCTATGAGCAATAGTGGAATACACAATGTATGTGGTCCTGTGCGTGGGTGGGTGTTGGTGAGTGCATGCTCATGTGTGGAAATTGTGAGTGCGCGTGTGTGTGTATATGCATGCGTTTGTGCAGAAGGCTGGGGGATTGTTTGGAGTCACACACAGGGCCGTAGTTGGGCATTGAATATCCTCTGGCCACCAGCCTCAGAAAGAAGCTTATTTTAAGTCTGTCCCTTTCTAAAAAGCTGGACCAACAGTGTTACCTAATGTCCAAGCTGCCAGAGACCCCCCAAATGACGCTCTGTGTGTGTGAGTTGTGTGTTCATTTTTGTGCATTCATGCTCATGAGGTTTGCGTAGTACCACTTTTATGACAATGTTTTGTGATGTGAATCACAAAATTACAACAAAAAGAAATGTTTGTTTACTTATACCTTTTTTTCCTGTCAGATTTAGTGTCATAGCTGAGCACATTTTTTATTCAAGTACGTGTGTGGCTGTGTGTGTGTGTGTGGATGTGTGTGTGTGTGTGTGTGTGTGTGTGGATGTGTTTTCACTCAGCTGTGGGTAAACCAGGACGACGTGGGAGGGGAGCCGGCCGAGGGGACCAGCGAGGTGCAGAACGGGCACCTGGACCCGACCAATGACTGCCTGTGTCTGGGCTCACCCCTCCAGAACCGAGACCAGATGAGAGCCAACGTCATCAACGAGATCATGAGCACGGAGAGACACTACATCAAACACCTCAAGGACATCTGTGAGGTACTGAAAACCCACCAACACGCACACGCACACACACACACACACACACACACACACACACACACACACACACATACGTCCAGTGCTGTTCCAGGGCACGCTTGTTTAGTTCCAGTGAGCAGCCAGCTTGATGATACACGAGTGTCTAGTAGGAATTCTTAACACTCCCACATTCACACTTTCATTCGAGACATATTTATTTTTATCAAAACGTTCCAAAAATAGTTTTCTTCCTTATTAATCTGTTTTTTGTAGATAAGAAGACACAGTGGTGGCAGCAGCCACACTCTTCTTTCATTATGATTCATGCCGAAGTGGCAGGTTCAAATTCACACCTAATGAAATGAAACAAGGGCCTTGCTGTCCGTTTCATTTATAGCACACCGAGCCTTTTATAAAAACTCAAAACATAACACGTCCAAATTTAAATCTCACTCTCAAAAATGTGGGAAATATTTATAACCACACGTTTCCTGATAAAACTGTAAAAACAAATTCACAAAAATACAAGTCAGTTAAAGTAGTGTGGCGTAATTTTTGTTTTTTTCATGACAGGCTGTAATTTCTAAAAAAGTGCCTCGTTGCCTTTGTGCAAGATTCATAGAGGTCAAATGTGAAGACAGAACACAACACCTGCATAATGACTTTGGGTCGGGCAAGTTTTTATAGTGCAAATTGTTTTGCTTATCTAATCATCTTTCTCTCTGTGTATCCTTTGTCCGGGTGAAGCATAACATGTAAAAATAGCTGCTGTAAAGCATAAATTTCACCTTCTCACCTGCACACTTTGGCTGTGTAAATACCCGGCGTGTTTACAGTACAGGCGCATGCACGAAAGAGCCTTTAAATGTTCAATGTAAATGTTATGTTCAAATTATTATTCATCATAACTATTTGTGTGTCAAACTTTGTGTGTCACAGAAATTAGGGTTTCAAAATTTTAGAGCGAAGTATAATATAAGTATAAAGTATAATCATAATCATGTATTTTACTCTCTGACTGTCGGCCCATTTGGGAAGAGACTTTTCTCAGCTTTAAATTATTTTCATTGAGGTTGACTGTGCAAAACAAAAAAACGGCTTAACGTATGTATTCCATAGACATAGAGAATTCTGGTTGGTGGAGTGTGAAAAAGGAAAAACTTTTCCCAAAGTGCAGAATCTTTAGGGCATTTAATTAACCAGAAGAATCAGACTGACTGAAATTGAGGCCACAGTTCGACCTACACAAAATAGTTTTTGCCTCTGCAGAAGCTTCGGAGTCATAGTTAATTTGGATTCCAATTAATTATATTCAAGGAGAGACTTTAGATGTTTATTAACAAAGAATGATCAAAAATAGTGACTGGATGTAACAAGCGGTGGCCCGCATCGCGCACTTGTGGCGCACCATGTCACAAATTAGGAGCAGATTCTTAAACTACTGCACATCGCCTCTGAACGCCTCGTACTAGTTGTAACCCATATTGTTTCAGGGCTACCTGCGGCAGTGCAGGAAGCGCGTGGACATGTTCAATGACGACCAGCTGAGGGTCATCTTTGGGAACATCGAGGACATCTTCCGCTTCCAGATGGGCTTTGTTAGAGACTTGGAGAAACAGTACAACACGGATGACCCACACCTCTCTGAAATCGGACCATGCTTTTTAGAACACGTGAGTCCGTTTCTCCTTTATATAACACAAACAGTTTGTCAAGATAATGAGATAATTAAGTCATGATCTCGAAAAAGCCGCTCTAATGAAAGTTTTAGAGACCGGATTTGCTCCTCCGTACATGTCGCCGCGCTTCTCCCCGGGTCGTTTTATTAAAAAGGATTTCTGTTTCATATTCGCCCCTCTAATCTCATATCCTCTGCTCTTTTCATCTACAGCAAGATGGTTTTTGGATCTACTCAGAGTACTGTAACAACCACTTGGATGCCTGTATGGAACTGAGCAAACTGATGAGGGACGGCAGGTATCAGCACTTCTTCGAGGCCTGTCGCCTCCTCCAGCAAATGATTGACATTGCCATAGACGGCTTCTTGCTCACCCCTGTCCAGAAAATCTGCAAATATCCACTCCAATTGGCTGAGCTTCTCAAATACACAGCGCAGGAGCACAGGTACTGTACGCTTTGTCCAAAGACTCTTTAAATCCGGATCTGAACGTGTTGCTTTTGATGCCATTACTGATGCATCATTGTGTTCCAGACGTATTGTGTTGCTATGCAGCCGTTGCAGGGGTTGGGTTTGTTTTATTGAAGGGGGGATTATCCATGCATGACCTGATACAAATGTTATGTCTTGCTGTTCTGCCGGCTTACTGTGAATGTTGCGGAGGGAAACATTTCATCAAGGACTTTCAATTGCGTCAAAAATGTAAAACACTGCTTCTCATCGTCATTCCGCATCATCTGCATTCCAATTCACGGCCGTAGGATCATTGCACAGAACTCTGGATATAAATAGATTGCAGATTAAGTATGAATTTGGGCTTTTGCTGGCACACGTCCGAGCAATAACATTCCCAGCACCGCACAGAAGCACAGTAAACATTTGCCGATACCAGATCGTCCAGATGTGCAAGCTCATGCGTGCAAACTCACAGAAAAAAATGTGCGAGTGATTCAGCGTGTCTCAGCGAGCTCCAGGTCATTGACAAAGCACGTGTTCTCAGCCAGAGAGGGACAGCAGCCAGCTCTGCCTGCCAGATCACAGTGTTTGACTGTTTGGAGCGGTAGAGAATCTGTCTGCTCCCTGTCACACACACACACAGCCATTATTTTCCAAAGTGAGGATTGGATCCATTGCATCTCTGAGCTAGAGGGATAAACCCAGCTCAGTTAGCATAGACACAGTCAGAGTTAACAGTGACTAGAGAAATTGGTTGATTAGAATTATTTGGTAGTTGTATGTTGTTTTTGCTGTTTCAGCAGCAGCTGCTACTGGAGTTTATGAGCCCAGTCCTTTAATAGGCTCCTCTGTATCTTTCTCTGCTGCAACATTACATGTCTTTTTTTAATGGGTGTCCAAAATCCAAAAGCTATAAATGTACCCTTTAACACTTCAGGAGTACTTATGTATACACTGTGTCCGTAGTGATTATCGATACGTGGCAGCTGCGCTGGCAGTAATGCGGAACGTCACTCAGCAGATAAACGAGAGGAAGAGGAGGCTGGAGAACATCGACAAGATCGCCCAGTGGCAAGCTTCTGTTCTGGACTGGGAGGTACGTGCGTACGTGGACTGTGGGCTTCTCCTAAGCATCCGATGTGCACTGATCCTCGTTTTTACTGGCAGAATGTGCTTCAGTCTGTTTAGTCCATCTGTTGAGTCACGCCCAGGGGAGGGAAGAACTTTTACTTAATTTATATCAATTACCTGAAGTTCTGAATAACAGGATTTGTGGAACCGTGGATCTAGTGAAGAGTGGAGGGGAAAAGGTCAAAGGGGGGGCAGCGTTGGTTCAACAATATGATTGTCTGAGGAGATCGTGGAAAAATGTGGTTGGTTTGGGGTAGAAGATTTACAGGCAGAATAAAGAGAGTCTCCCCGACTGAACCTAAGCTTCAGTTATTGTTTTTACCTGTTTGTAAAAGTCACTCCTTGAATGCCTTGAATGTTTGTCTATTTAACAAACCAAAAATGGGTTCAATCCAATATAATCATAATTTTACTTTGAATCATGTTGGACCAGACCTTAAAAATAGCTAAAAATCAAGGATTGAATTTAAACACCCCCCCACTTAGAACCTAGATCTAATTTTATTCTGTTGTACCAAAGCATTAAACTGTGATCCATTATTAACTTTAGACTAACACTTTTTTAACGGCTGCCCTTTTGAGATGGATTGGACAAAAATAACTAATGTGAGGCTCAAAGAAAAGTTACTTCAAGGATATTAATAGAGCTGTATTGCTATGGCCTGCGTAAGCCAACAACCAGGACCTTGTCGGCCCCGCGCTGCAGTGGGAGCTGTGGCTACTGAAGCCTGAGGCTTTTCAGCTAGCTAGCGACCACGATGAGTAGACCGATCTTTCCCGTGTGCTGTTTCTTTTGGCCCTTGCATCCCAGTGCATTGTTGTACCTATTCTTTGGCATTTACACACCGTGCGTGTGCATGTGTTGGTCTGTGTGTCCAGGGGGATGATATCCTGGACCGGAGCTCGGAGCTCATCTACACCGGGGAGTTGTCATGGATCTATCAGCCCTACGGACGCAGCCAGCAGCGAGTCTTCTTCCTCTTTGATCACCAGCTGGTTCTCTGTAAGAAGGTGGGTTCTCTCTCTCTCTCTCTCTTTCCCTTTGTTCGCTTAATTTTTTTTTTAAAACACCATATTGGCTGAAAACAAGCTGAGAAGCTCAACTGCGCCCTCGTCCGGTTGTCTTGAAACGGCTGGTGGCAGAGGCGCGTGGAGACAGACCACGCGACGTCCTCAGCCACACTCGAGAGCTGCAAATAGATTACATAAAACCGCATGAGACGCACACCGCCCTCGGCGAAGACGCCATCAAATCCTCAGCACCAAAATGGAGCGGTGGTGGTTTGGGCTCTAATGCACCTTAGGCTGCGCTCTCCTGTCAGACGGATGTTCACGCTCGACTAGACCTCAACAACACACGCGCGCCCGCAGAGACACACCGGGGCGGGAGAGGTGCGTCATCACGCGCACGTGCGCACACACAGAGGAGCAATGCTTTCTTACACTTACACGGATAAACACACACGCACAGAAGGATCCAACAGAGACGTGCAGATACAGTGTCTTGCTGTTTCTCCGATTCCGTCCTTATCACTTCTATCGCTGTCCATCATCTCTGACACCTGAAATTAAATCACGCGTTGGTGCAGATCCCCCTGTGTGTGTGTGTGTGTGTGTGCGTGTGTGCGTGTGTGAGCGGTTCCGGTCCGCTAAGATTCTTGGTTCCACACACACAAAAGCATCCTCGGTACAACACTGGTAGCTTTCGGCCCCCAGGGTGTGTAAGTAACACGTCCCATATAGCTTTCCATCTTTTCCACTTATCTCGTCCCTATCAGCACACGGATGCAGATTTGTCTCGGCACAATTATTAAAAGATTGCTGCTGTTGTTTTTTTTATCTTTACCTGCCCTTCCCTTATAGTGTGGCTGGAGGTAATTTGTTCCCTCAGGCAACAGTCAAGATGAGGATTTTATTTACGGGGATGTTTTATTCCGGCACAGTAACACGGGTCATGGTTACTGATGAACTGTTGTAGAGGCAAACATATGTTATTATTCTGATGATTGATTGATTAGTAGTCACTTTGTTTCTCTCTTGTGATTGTAAACTGAACATCATTGAGTTTTGGACCACCAGGGATATATATATATATATATATATAGAATAAACTTCTCCTTCAGATCTCTTTTAGTCACAAGGTTAGTGTCACTCTCCGGTGTTTATCTCTAGTTCAATGGGGCCGTCCTTATTTAAGCTGTAGTACTGATGTACTGTCTACCATTTGACATGCATCTTATATATAGTGCCCTCAAACATTCCTCAATGGAAAGAAAATAATAGTGTCCATAAATCAAGATCATCAGAAAATGTGCCTGAAACTGATTCATAATTGATTCGTATCAAAGATGTTTCTCCGACAGAACACATGTAAACATTTAGCAGATGTTTGGATTGTAAATTGAGATATTCTTACCTCCTATTTTTTTTATTGGTTGCAGCCTTATAATCAAGTACACCAAAATCCCGATGGTCTTGGAAAATACAATAGTTGAATAAACAATCAAAAACTGTCCAGCATGAGCTTCACAAAGACAGAATTTCTCACAGCGGGATTTTGCTGCTCTACATAATAAACAAGTAAATGTTCTAAAAGTACTTTCTACCTTTTTTGTGCTTGGGGAGTCTGCAGTGTGTTTGCACGACTGGGCAGCAGATGGAAAGGGTTGCATAAGGCGGCAGACTCCAGATACAAGGGGACGGATGCTTGTTGACATCTCTGAGGTTCAGATTAACAGACCTCTCTTCATCCTCCTCCACAGGATCTGATACGCCGGGACATCCTGTACTACAAGGGTCGCATCGACATGGACCGCTACGACGTACGGGACGCCATTGACGGGCGCGACGACGACTTCAACGTCAGCGTGAAGAACGCCTTCAAACTGTGCAACAAAGACAGCGAGGAGATCCACATCTTCCTGGCCAAGAAGCCGGAGGAGAAGATCCGCTGGCTCAGGGCCTTCCACGAGGAGAGGAAGATGGTGCAGGAGGATGAGAAAATCGGTTAGTCACCCCCCCTCCCTCCCTCCCTCTGTACATCCCCGTTTGGAACGCTTTAGTTCCACTCACAATGGACGTTGGAGTGTCAGCTCCATGTTGCATTTGGTGCAGTAGTGGCTACGGGCTGATGTTCTTCAGCACCAAACATGTATTCCCCCTACGAGGGACGGTTGGAAAAAGCACTCAATGCTATTTAGCGAGGCGCTGTAAAACGCTGGCTTCTCATGGCTGATCATCTTGCCCCTTTGCGATTTTGTTTGCTGTTCAGGTTTCGAGATCTCTGAGTACCAGAAGCGGCAGGCAGCCATGACGGTGAGAAAGGTGACCAAACAGAAAGGTGAGGCAACAAGAAGATATCAGGTGATTTCCCTTTTCTTTTCCTCGCTGGTGTGCTCTGTCTTCTCATCGCTGTTTACTCTCTTCTCCTTAACCTGCTCTCTTTTGTGTCTTCCACTTTCTACACCCCTTTTTTCGAACATGCCCACTTTGTTTATGAGTGGACGTAGACTATCTGTGTGCTGAGTAAGCTAGAAAAAGTCACGTTGATCCATGTCTTCTCGTTACATTATTTTCAATCTACTTCGTTTGAGTCAAATGTCTGTCGGCCCGTACGCAGGGTTCAATCCATTGGAGGTATGAAGCAGCTGTTAAGCATCAATGAAAAGACAGAGGGCTGTTTGCATGACGTATTGAGTTTAAAGGGTGATAGCGGTGATGGTGACGCGCGGGTCCTGTGACGCGCTGGTCTACAACAAATGTCCGACTGTTTGCATTTGTTCTTTTACTGAGTTAGGGCGGTTGTTGGTCGCTTCCATTTAAAACAAGATTTTCAACGTATACCAGAAATCTTCTGCGCTGCACCAGTGTTTTGCAGTTGATTCATTTGGTTTTATTACCAAAAAAATCTGAAATGTAACACCTTTACTTTTAGTAGGTTATTCTAGTCAACATAACGCCTTGAAGTGCGTCAGGAGGGATCAGGTTTTTTTGGTGATTTGAACTAGTTCTGTTGCCAAATATGTAAAAATACGGTAAAACGCCAACGGCCGCTGACTATCTCAGTATCAGAAAAACATGTCAAGCAAGTTATTCAAGATGCTAATTCCAGGCAACCAGACAAAGGACCCACATGTGAGAGTCGGTATCATCCTTTAAGTTTTAGCCGTTTTAGGGCCAGGCTAGATGTTTGTACATTTACCATTACTGATGTTCTCGCTATTGCCAGTTTCACACAGAGCATGACCATCCATTAAGGTTCTAATTAACCAGTGACCCCCACTAGAATGTTCTCACTGACGTTAGGATCCCTGTAGATGTCTATGTAAGTAAATGTTGTGTGTTTCAAAGTGCTGTATGTGTACATGGCTGGCACAAGGTGAAGTACTCTCTTGAATTTCAGATTCATTTATAGATTTCATCTTGAGAAAGAGGGCCATGTTGTATGGACATGGTTTGAGAATGATAAAGGTATATGCATTGGAGTTCTCCTTAGAGATAGCACAATAAGATGCCATGGCAACTGCTAAGCAGCATTGGGAGGTGTTGTGATTAACGTTGGCATTGGCGCATGAGGTCACAGTCTGACCTGTTTAATGACACTATCTTGGCTATCCAAGATTTTCCCTTCAAAATGCTAAAACAGCGTTTGCCCAAATACCCCCCCCCCCCCTCCCCCCACCCCCCTCTCGAGAAAAGACACTGTTCCGCACCTTTTCATTTCTTCCAAAGATGCCATGGCAACTTTTGAATATTTCATCTCCAAATATTGATTGTATCTAATTTTGAACTGCACTAGAATAGTTGTGATGCTTGTAGACCGTAGCTAAATGACATCGTAGGCTGTAGTTAAATGCATATTAACGGCTTTCTGTTGGCTCTATTTTTGCCGCTCTTGTGTTCTCAAGTGTCGAGGGTGCTATTCAAACAAATGTGCTGTCAACAAACGTGGAAGAACAATGCCTGTTGTCCAAATGCCTGGTTTCATCGCTCCGATGCAATCTGCTGTCTCTCTTGTTTTGTCTGCTACAGACTTTGATTGAATAGCATCTTCAGTCTCCCTTGTGTCATGGCTAGTGCTGAATTCCACTCATGTCCCAATTCAGCTGTCTCTACATGGTCATACTGTGGCATATCGTGGGTTTAATATGCAGGAATGTTGACTCTGAAGACTCATCTTGTACGTCTACGTGCCTGTTGTCTTTGGAAGCATGACTTGGTGTTGTGTTTTTGTGTCCGTTAAAGAGACGTTTACTGACTTTGTTTCCTGTTCGCTATCCACTTTTTTTCTTCTCTCGCTTTGTGTCCTGCGCTACTTCCTCCTTTTCCCCCTCCCCCTCACTCCCCCTTCTTGCTATTTTTGCACCTGCCTTCCTAGGTGTAAACAGGTGCACGCCCCCCTCATACCCGCCCCCACAGGACCCCCTAAGTGCGGGGCAGTATGAGGTAACGGAGGACATGGCACAAGGAGAGGTTTTTGAATTCAGTCAATCCAAAAGAGGCCAGGCTCCTTTCTGGCAGAATTTTAGTAGATTAGCTCCATTTAAGAAATAGAGAAACACGGACTCTTCTGAAGGACCAGCTATTTTTCTTAGAAGCACTAAACACTGGAGGATCTTGTCCCATGATGAAGAAAAATACAAAAAAAACACACACAAGAGACTTTTGAAATGATGGACCATTGTTAATATAGCGTGTGACTGGAAGCAGCAAGAGGACAGAAGACTTGGATTTAAAACTTTGAGAAAAATGAAAAAAGCATCACAACTGATATCTGTTAGCAACGTTCTTAGTTATCATGCTTCTCCAGCTGAGTGGCTTGTCTACAGCTCTTTCCCCTCCAATTCTGCATCGTCACGCCATCTGAATGTCCCTGAGTTTTTCAAATTGTCATATTAATCTATTTTTAATCCAATCATCGGGAGGAAAACACAAGGTCGGGACAGGGCATTCCTCGTGGTATGATTGTGTCGACCCTGCTGTGCTGCTATGTGACATCGCTTGTTGAATTCTTCTGAATGTGAGATGGAGTAACGACGGGCCCCCGTGGCGTGCGAGGGACCCGCGAAAGCTCGCCCGTTGGCGTCGTCCCAGCGTTCCGTCCATCTGTCCACTGATCACAGACCAGCCGGGCCGCCGACGTCTGCGTCCGGATCACCTCCTCGCTCACAGCGGCCCACGTTCCGCTCTCTAGCTGCTCGCATGCAGTCCCCCTCGCCCACCCGCACACACCCCCCCCACCCCCATCACCAGGTGTAGTTCAGCATCTCCCTCGCTCTCCCTCGTCCATCCCTCGTCACCTCTTATCTCTCCACCCACCTGCTCCGCCTGCGTGAGTCAGTGGCTCTCAGAGGAAGAGCTTCCCTCTTTTGGAAACCTGCCATTGGCCGTGATATGATGCATCAGGGAACGAATCAATCGTTGGGACACCGATAGAATAGTTACATCCGCCCACCAACCACCTTTGACAGGGTATTCATAAGCGTTCATGCCGACGATGCGCCGACAGGCCTTTGCCGCTCGGATGGAACAGCTGGGAGCAGGAGATTGGTGGTGCCGTGGTTCCACCTGCCCTGTGTCAGAGCCCCTCCCCACTCCCCCCCCCAGAGACCACCCCTGTAGCACTGTGCCGGCAGCTCACCGGGCGCTTGGAAAGAGAATAGCCGACCCCCCCCACCCCTCCCCGGAAAGGAAACAGCGAGATCTAAGAAGCGATGTTGAGGCATTGGCCGAAGTCTAGACTAACGTGTCTCTTTTTCACGTCAGTTGTCAAAAGAAAGACTCCTTCGGCCGGCTTCATTATTTCCTGTTGCTCACACTATAAAAAGCACAGCACACATTCAGTCTGCGGGGGGGGGGGTTTCCTTTTCTGCCGGTTTGAGTAGGAGCGGCGATAACAGCGCGCCATTTTGGAGCAAACCCCCTAAACCAGCACAAAGGGAAGCATATACATGAACTAACAGGTTGTGAGTCAGCACTGGAGGAATGTACGGTGCAGAAGAGTGAGCCAACATAGAAAGTTGAAGCTAATCTGTAGCATGCAGCTGTCCTGTCACAGATTGATGCATCTCTAAAGGCTGCAGCTCCGAAGCTTGGCACTCCTCCCCGATGTTTTTCCACTTCTGATCCGTGTCCTGGCAGTAGGCTCGGCACCGTTAAGTGATTTACACAGGACCCGGTCGGATTGTCGTGTTGTGAGATCCTGCCATATGCTACTAGCAGTGTTAGAAAGGAGAGGATCCAAGCGCCGTTCACACACATCATGAAGATATATTGTTTTCTACAGTTGGAATGTAAGTGACACACAAGTCCGTGGTTTGTGATCATATTTGGACCTCCGATACAGAAGTACATTTTGTGTTGAATTATATCACCCCGTACATATACAGTATGACAACTTGTGCAATGTGATATATCATTATATATCTTCACTATCCACTACAACGTGATATGAAAGAGTTATATATAGTTCTATGTCATTTGTTTGCCTGCTTATAGGCCTTATAACCTATTGGAGAAAAAAAAAGAGACCGTAGAATTGCTTTGTGTGTTGTGTAATTTATGTTTTTGTTTCAGTAAAGACGGTTTAGACCTGCGTGAGTTGGCTGCTGGTGTCTGGAGAGACGGCTCCCAGTGAGATTGTTTTGGAAGATAATTCCCTGGTCTGGCACAGCTAAAAGATATGGTTCCCAGGCCATGATAACCTCAGGTCCCGTGCTACGCACCCCCCCCCCCCTCCTCCAACACCCCCCAGAGCTCCCTCACCTACCCCCATTTCACGCATTACTCGCACCACCCACCAACATATCAGACACAAGCATACGGTGGGAAACAAGAAAATCACAAACCCCCTCCTATTCTGGCCCTGTTCATTTGCCGAAAGGAAGGCCAATTGATTTGTAGCAGTATGCCATCCGACGATCCCACAATCTGATATTTCTAGTTCCGGTTTCAGTCGGATTTAGGATTATTCATCGTGCATTTCCCCTGAAACTGGACAATTGCCAAGTATTCGTTCTCTCTCTCTCTCTCTTTGTTTTTCTCTCTCTCGCTCGCACACTTTGGGAATTCCTCGTTCCCCAGTGCACGAGATCCACCCGGACAGAAACGTAGAGGTCAGACCTTTTCCACATGAGTAGATACTGTGCCGTCTGACTGAAACACACCTTATTATATTATACCACGCGTACATAGCGCTAATTTTATTGCACAAAAAGAGGTTCATTCTAATTTCAGATGTTTAGAAAACTACATAGGATTCCTTAATTGTCATATACATGTTGAAAGATGGTTTCCTTTGAATATATAGTAGGAAGCAGACTTTCATTAGCCAAGTTAGTTTCCCCTTTTCAAGGTATATTATTACTAGTGAGTTATGAATCAAAAGAAGAATCATCTATTTTACCGTTATCAGCTACACACTGTAAATAATGTAAAAAGAACAGATCATATATTTGGATATTGGTATTTTGCGTTGGAGACGAATGTTGTTCCAGTTCTAGCGTGCGGTAGACCTCAGTACCCGGTAAATGCATGCTTGTGGCATCCAATATTTTGCATGAGACTTTAGACAAGTCCCGACAGATTGTTTGGTTTCATTTAACTTCCAATGGGATTTTTTTCTGGTTTGTTTGTTTCCTCACAACGCGGAACCATTCATTTGTGAAACCCATGCCATCTCACTGAGGGGAGTTCTCTTCTCAGTCCACCCGTCTCCTGCTCACGAGACACTACAGGTTGTAGCTTGGGTTTTTATTTATTAGGTTGAGGGGACACACCTTTCCTCGTGCTCAAAGACTCAACTGTTGATAGTCAAAATTAAAGACTCTAATGTTCTGTTTGCCCAGATACATTGGGTACTATTAACTGTAAACTTATTCTGAAGTCTTTATCGACTCTTTTCTTTGACTCCAATCTGCACTGTCATGGTCCAAACTGCTGGTTATTTTTTTGGAATTCCATTAAATCGCTGAGGAAAAACGGGTATCATTTTTCTATGACAACAGTGAACCAAATAGGAGTTAGCACTGATCATGGGCGTTTGTGTATAGATTTGTAGTCAAGCAGAAGAGCTCAATAAATGCGAAACCCTTTTGGGATGAGCTAAAAATAAAACATAATCCTGAAGACGCATTCACACACATACACACACACGCACACACACACGCACACACAGTACTTCATTGCAATTCATATCATGCTCTTGTTTCTACTTAAGAAATGATTCTTTAAAGTGAAATGACTTGACACTACAAATTAATTCCTCACTTGTATTTATTGAATAGCGTATTAAATAGAACCATTTTGGCCACATTGTTCAAAAGGATGTATACATTATTTTTATTATGTAATTAGCATTCTGACCTTGTGCTGAGAACTGAGTGGACAGCTTTCTGTGTGGAAGATTTCTTTTCCCTTCCATTTGCGGTCATAAAACCGAGACAGACAATTTAGCAGACAGTCATTTGGATGCATCAGGCGTTGCTCAGATTTATGTAATTCCTTTTAGTCCAGAGTGCGCGTGAGCCACTCGCGTTTAGCATCGCAACATCTCCAGTAGGAACTCTCTGCAGTGTCGTTTCCGAATAGTCAGGGTACAAACGGAGTCTTCTACCAGCCATAGAGCGACGGGGTGTCCAATGACAACAAGGTAAAAAGAAGACTGACATTCCACGTTCGGAATCTATTCATTGTATATTACCATCTAGTTTAAGGTCTGGATTTTAGCCTCACACAGAAAAGATTTACTCACTGTATCCATATCCTTTTGTCACCATATGCAAGCATATGCCATTTTTATTTCTTGCTGGCCTTTGAGTTTGATTATTTGTTGTAGAAATGAAAAACCTGAAAAATAATGCCTATTCAATCCAGAAACTGTGAATGGGAGAGTGGAGATGTCAACTGTATGTACATTCTATGTTTTGATGTAATCAGAAGCACTGGGAATATGTTGTACTTCGCTGTAAAAATAAATCCATATCTGATATAGCTGTACTTTTGTTGAAAATAAAACCTCTACAGAACTGCGTGTCGAGGCGTCGATGTGTGAGTGGGAGCATTGTGCTGGGTTTCCTGTTGGGGGGCATTATTTCCTGTTTGCAGGTCCCAATTCCCAACAGCTGACGCATTAACTCCTGTCACAGAGAAAAGATTCAAGGCCACGCAGCCGTTAGACAATAACAGTATCAGGAGGGGTTCCGCATCGCACAAAAAGAGACATTTATACAATTGTAGCAAACAACTATGCTGTTATCAATAAGTAATGAGACTTTGGGCAAATTATCTTCGCTTCCTGTTATGAAGTCCACGGCTGAGAAACCATGTTTTTTTTTAAGGAAGATCTGAGAAAAGTACCGAGTGATGCAGACGGCCTGTGTGTGTGTGTGTGTGTGTGTGTGTGTGTGTGTGTGTGTGTGTGTGTGTGTGTGTGTGTGTGTGTGTGTCCGGATGTATAAATCTTCCATTGTGTAATGTTACCTGAGAGGAGAGCAGCACTAGAGTTAACGCAAAGAGGCGTTACCACATTCGGACTCGGGCATCAGGAGAGAGTTACTGTGGTCTCTAGTGGTCGACCGCGGCGTTACACTGAGAGGACGCGGCACGCTTCCACCACGGAGCCCTTTGGCCTCTCTCTGTGTTTCACCAAGACAATTCAGTGAGCTTTGTAGATCTATGTAGGTTCACATTTCAATCTATATATAAATGACAAAAGCAAGAATCTATAGCACTCATTGGGAAGACGCAGTGACCTTTTGTACTTGACGGTGAGATCTGGTAGAAATCATCAATGCAGCCCTCAGAAACGCGACCTGTCACTGTCCATACGTTCTGATGATATGGTGAGCATCATATGTGTTCAGAGGATTCGTGCTTCAGATACTTCCTCAGGATCAAAGGAACGTCCAAATTGTTGATAGCCGGCTCTTTATCGGCAAAGGGGAGGTACCTTCGTATTGCCAGCCGAGTCTGCGACATCAGCGTTTTGGGAAAAACTGGAGCAGACACAGACAAACGAAAGTACATCAACTTGTTCACACTTTTGCACGCTCCAATGCACCCTGAACCAAACCCGGATCGGCGTCTCACCTCTCTCTTTGAGCAGCAGAACCAGAGCTTCGTTCTGCTTCGTGGTCTTGTCAATGATCAGTGTGGGCAGATACACGTCCGCCCCGAAGTCCACGAGCAGCTGGATGTACTCCACCCCGCAGCCGTAGCGCAGACACACCTCCAGCACCGTCTTAGGCTGCTTAATCCTGGCCAGCACCTTCCCGTCCGTGCAGTTGTAGTCGGGGTTGGCCCCGTGGAGAAGGAGCACTTTGAAGCAGTCCAGGTGTCCGTACGCGGCCGAGATGTAGAGGGGCCCTCTGCACGCTGTGGCGTTGGAGGCCCACTCGGGCACCTTGGGCCTCGCGTCCACCTCGGCTCCGAAACGCAACAGCTGTCGGAGCAAGTCCACGTGGCCCTCGCGGGCCGCCGTCAGCAGAGGGGTGCAGTTGTTGTGCTGGCTGCCGTTGGGATCGGCTCCGGCCTTCAGCAGGGCAACCACGCAGTCCAGATGTTTCCCACTCACGGCTGTGAACAGAGGCGTCTGGGCCTTCACGTCCAGGCTGTCGACCTGGATTCAAACGCAGCAGCGCGCCAACACGTTGGGACAGTGGGAAAGCAATGCCGCCGAATCAGCATTCGGCGATCCAAATAATACTGACATATTCTCACCAGTCAATTTGTATTTACTTAATTATGTAATGATTTGAAATCCAATATTCACTCTCATTTTGACACTTCAATGATCTCCACCGACACCTGAGGGAAATATCCTGCTTATTAGAAGCTAAATGTTCCACTGTATTCCTCCCTAGTCCCTTACATTGTCAACGTGCTGCCAGGTAGTAAACAATGGGTTTATCTCAGCCTTTAATTTGCTCCCTGCTGCCTCTGGCAAACAATCCTTAGGATGGAAAAACAAAAATGAAGAAAAAAGGTATATATAAGGTTCCTTAAACCTGAGGTGAACTGCAGAGGTTTGTATGAGTTCATCTCTGTGCCAGTGACCCCCTTCATATTACATTTAACCATGTGATCATTCTTTATTGTAAATTATGATAAATGCAGCTTCTTAATAATTATTCTATGTTGACACCCCCTTCCCCCCTCCAGACACACACATAGTCAAACACACACTCCAACTACCAAAGATCCATCTCGGCATCTTGCTACGAACGAAAGGCTCTCTCCACATCTCACCTCTGCTCCGTGCTCCAACAACAACTCCAAGCACCTCAGGTGTCCCAGAGCGGCAGCACGGCGCAAGGGGGTTACTGGGACCCCCCACCCGCTCCGAGCGTTGATAGACCTCCTGTGACTCTCCTGAGACAGAAGCTCAGAGAGCAGAGACGCGTTGTCACTGCTCACGGCGTCGTTCAAGGCCTGACACTGCTCAGCGTCCTCATCGTCCTCCTTGGGCTGCAGCAGGGAGAAGATCTTGGAAATGTCCATCAAACTCATGTTGACAGCTCGTCCCAGAACCATGATGCCACCCCGGGGCTGCTGCGAGTCAAAGCCCCTCCATCTGCAGTGGGCGAAAAATGTCAGCGAGAGACAGTAATACATTCAAACACACACGGTTGACATCTTGGGTTATTTGTGTGAGGAGTGATTCTTCTCTCAACAATGCAAATTCCTCCGTGAAAGACCGAGAGTGACTTCTTGCCGTGACCAACCGTTACTGCAACAAGACGGTGCGGCTCGTTCACATGACACTTATGTTGCACGAGTCGAATCGAGTCAAATCAAAGCCATAAAGAAAGAACGGTATCCACCGCAGGGCTTCCTGGTTGGCCGAGGGTTACGCAGCAGCAACATGCATCACACTCACCTCCACCCGCTGTGTGCTGCTGTTTTTTATTCCAAAGGCACGAGGAAAGAAGTACAACACTTCCGAAGCGCCAACATGAAGTCACGTGGAGGAAAGACGGCACGAAGAGGAGTGTGTGATGCTTCCACAGGAGCCTTGAGTTGTGAAGAGCACAGTATAGTGTGTGTGAGTGTGTGTGAGTGTGTGTGTGTGTGTGTGTGTGTGTTAGCAGACAGAGGCGACCGGAGCTCCTTTCCAGGGGGGCAGGGAGGGCTAATTTTAGGCCACAGATGGGGCTGGTTGAACTTCCATTCTTGGAGGGTCCAGGCTCAGGGTTATAATTAGAAAGGTGATACAAGAGTGACACTCCGTCTGTGAGTGGAGAGCGCGCCTGGAATAAAAACCAAAAGGAGAATGGAGACTTCTGCGTCTCCCCACAGGTCGCGCTGCACGAAAGGAGCACGATCCTCCACTTTCAGTTCCAGCTGGTCAAACAGGTATTAAAGGCGACACCACTGCCCTGCAACGTGCTCCCCGCTGTGACAATAAAGCCCAACGGCCAATGAGAATGGCCTTGGGTTTGCCTGCTCCGCTATCACCTGTTTCCGTGATTCACAACAGGTCCAGAGCCAGAAAATGTCAAGTATTTGTGTTCTTCAATACACTTCAACAACCCCCCCGTCCAAGGAGACATGGTGTCAGTGTCAGGAGCTGCCAGTCAGTCAGCTGTCCCTCTGCCAAACCCACCCATGTCCTCATCCTGCTCTGCGTTCAGGGGGGGGTGGGGGGGGGTCCCGGGACACATCACATTCTTTCAGCAGCTGATGAAGAGTTTCCAGATTCCTGGCCTTCGAATACAGACGTACACTTTATTTATCCACCCGAGCACACAGACGTGTAGCAGTTCAGTGTGGATAACAAAGACAGACCGGACCCGAGAACAGTGAAAAGATTTTTTTATTGCTATTCATACTTTTGGAGATCCAACCAACTTGAGAGGCAGACGGTGCACCAAGCAGCCAGGCGTCTGTGGCCGAGGCGGTGCCACAATACTGCACATGTTCTGTAGCTTAGGTCTATTTTTTCTCAGCCTAACTAAGTGGTTTATTTTCCTTTTCTACTTTCCTTTAACTTTAACTTTTATTATTTTATTTTAAACTAACCCATAGCATATTTTATTTTATTCATCGTGCACTCTTGTATTGTCGTCCATTGTTGTTGTCATTGCTGTTACGCACCAACCGCCAAGTCAAATTCCTTGTATGTCGGACATATTACGGCAATAAATGTTTCCTGATTCCTGATTCTTAATCTTTGCAGAAAGCCTCTCGGCTGGCAAATCAAGCAGCGTTATTAAGCCAACGTATGCTCTCCATAGTGCGAGTAGACGCTCTACAAGCCGAGCCTACTTGAAACTCCAAGCTCCACTACAATAGATACTTTAACCATATTTCAAAAATTTCACAGAGAGTCTTTCTATTCTTTGTAGTTTTTATAAGTTGTTCTTATTTCCAAACCCTCTATTTATTAAGGATGAGTTAGAAAATAAACACCATATTACTGCCATACCTTTATTTATTTTAAATGAGTTTGAATCCACAATTGTGTTATTTAAATTGTTTTTTTTTTTTTGCATGACACACTGTACTATTAGAACATATAGCTATACACACGCAGTAATTGTTTGATCACATTTGGAAATCAAATCGCAGATAAGAAATCACAGATTACAACATTGTGCATTTGCTCTTCTGGGCCTCGGTGGTTGCGAGAGATGAAAATACCTTGTATCCATTTCCATTGAGCGTCTCCTCTGAGGTGCTGACGTCACCCGATGCATTGTGGGATTTACCTTGTTGATGTTTCAGCTGATGCCTAATGCATCGTTCATAATGAAGAGCTTGGTGCTCTTGTTCCAGCGGTGGTCGTGTGTAACTTTGAGCTAACTGCACTTATCTAACTTTTACTCCATAACATCTCAGAGGCAAATATCGTAATTTTAACTTCCCTCCATTTATTTGACACTGTTTGCAAAGAAGAGCCAATTATTGCATCATCGGTCATCAGCCTTATATATTGAATATATGTTGTCCATTCTATGGATATATGAATAGAAATGGTCATTTAAGTACATTTTGCTGCCAGCACCTTTTGCGCTTTTCACTGTGCTCTAGTAAATAATGAAATGATAAACCCTCCGTCTGTGCTGCTCACTGGTGCAGATGAAATGTGCCCTGAGAGAGAGAGAGAGCCACCCGTCGAGAAATGTTAAACTATTTTTGGTTTATTATGAAACCGTCGCCAGAAAAAATTAACTTTGGCGAGCAGCAGCAGTCCAGTTAATTAACGTGAACACTGCAGTGACTAAAAAACAAACAAACAACAACGACCCAAACAAAGTCACATCCACTCGTCTCCAATAAGATGGGATGAAATATTTCTTTCATATATTTTTCATAGATTAGTGGCTGACTGGTTTAATTATTCTACCACTTCATCCAGCAGTAATACACATGAACATTGTAGGAAACAGCAGATGATTGATATCAATGTCACAATAATATGTAATTTAGTGTTTCCTAAAAAGACACTTTTCAGGTGTTCTTATTTGTCACACTTCTAGATATGCGGCTTCAATGGATCACATCTGAGATGAAAAGAAACATTCTTAAATATAACAGAAAGAACGTCTCTGTTGCCGAGGCTCTGACCTACAATATGTGTTTAATCTCGATGAGTTTTGGAAGTTAATATTTCAATTCAGTGTCCTATTGGGCTCGGTTTTCATGGAATTATGGGATACGCTGTGTAATACACACGGACATTCTGACGTCCTCCAGTTTGATTTACGCAGCAGGAGCAGCTAGAGACACTAAAGCGCGGCTCATCAGAAGCTGCTCAGCCGCTCCGAGACGAGATCTGAAGACCAGGAAAGCGCCTGGATTCTCACAGCGTCCTTTCTCCTCAGATGGGTGTTCCATACCAAACATTGACAGAGACGTTCTCCCTATCTCGTCCTAAAAACCCAATGTGAGAATATGGGGATTCATTTGTACCAAGAGAAGTGTTATTGACGTTAATGCCAGCAGACGTGACACATACTGACAGCCGTGTGCACAGGAAGGAAGAGCAGGATAACGTTCCACATTCGTGTCAGCCAAGGACTTTCTCTCTTAGCCGGTAGTTCCAAACAGCCATGAAGGTCAAAATGATTAATAACTACTCCTGCTCCTTATGCAAGTACTTTGGCCAGAGAGGTAATGCAGTTTATACCGAAAGCTGGCTCAAAGAATACTATGAAAACTTCATTTACATTCTATAAAAACAATGGCATTATTTATTCATTCGACTGCCAGCAGACAAACAAGTGTAAAAGGAGCTCTAAATTACCGAGACTAAATGTACCACAGCTGCTTGATTCATCCAAATTAATTCACAATAGAGCTGAATTCAATTTGTCTAATTATACAACAAGCTCTGCAAACCTCGACTTTAACCTTTTATTATTTTCTTATTTTATACTTTGAGTGTTTCCTACATGTTTACGTAACACATCTTGTACAAACCCTACATCTATATGTAGCAGTCTACTTTTTAAACCAACAATGTTTCTTTTGGACTGAGGAGATTTATGATCTTCCAACCGATGGAAAATGTCCCCACAATCCCTGATTTTGAATTCTATAAAGATATTGAGCTCTTGACTTATTAAAAGCTGTAATATTTGTATTTCTATTGTTACTTTCATTTCATGCTGTGAAACTTTTGGGACCCAGGTGCCAATCTAATAAAAATGTTAAAAATCAACTATATGTCGATATTATTTGGTGAATTTCTTTTTATAACAACAAAAATGAGATTTCTCAATGTTTTGAATGTGTCAATCAAAGGAGCCGGCATAATGTTTGGGGGAATAAAACTACACCAGATGCTTTCTGTTATTTCAGTGAATATCGTACTGATCGTTTTAGGCCAATTTGAAGTCATTTTTATGCTGTTATCACTTTTTGGGAATCAGCTTCTTTCCCATGAAACTTTATGGCATATGATAATATAATTTTCAATACTGTGTTATGAATTTTTATGGCCTGTTTTTTAGGACAATTTTTACGGGATTTGTGACATTTTGATGGCATTTTATGACATACTATAATTCAGAGTTTTATGGTATTTTTATAAAATACAACAGTATGACTTTTTAACGACTACTACCACAACAGAAACGACTCATACTGCTACAATCATGACCACAACAACTCCAAAACAAACACTGCAAAAACTTCAGCTATTACTTAATTATAATTATAGTTATTTTCAAGAAAGTCATGTATTTAGTACATTTTGAGTAGATTATGAAAACATTTGAATTCCTTTATAATACCTAATTTAAGGATACATGCAAATACTCAGGCATGATAACTAATAATAAGGTTCAAGTTTTATAAAGTTTTATGAAATCTTTATAATTACCTATAAAGTGCTGGACATTATGTATCATAAGTTCAGTGTTAATAGTGTTGTTCTCGGGTTACACAGCACATTAAAACTGCCATAAAATATCATAACTGCTGACTACAGCACCTTTATGAAAGGTAAAGTGGAAGAAAGTATGGGTTTGGATAAATGTAATATTGTGTCATACATTTATATCTGAACATACAATCACAAAGTGCTTTGTGTAATGTGCATTAAATGTGACTTAGATTTCATTAGATAAAGGGCTGTGTCAGCCCATTAAATTGGTAACATACAATGAAATACAAATAAAAAGTAGATAGGATCCACCTTTAATCACCATGATGTCATCGTCTGCGTCGTCGGCTGCTCCTCCCCCAACACTCTGAAAAGCCACAAAAATAAGGATTTTCTGAGGAAATTAAATTAAACCAAATGAATGTGTCCATCACAGACCACAGTGCACCATTTCAAACCTGCAAACGTGAATGCTTACAGTTTATTTTTAATGTTGCAATGTGCAGTATGTCAGTAGAATAGGCTGACAGGAGGTAATGTGGACCCAAGCTGTTGGCTTGCAACACAATTCTGTCCAAAGGTTTCAAATTTAGGGAATTTCCAAGAAGCTCATAACAAAGATAAAGAGACCACTGAATTGTAAATATATTGTATGCTTTAAATATTCAACGACATTTAACACAGCGCAGCTGGTAATGATGAGAAGGTATCCTACCTCAGGGCTTCGGCGCAGATGAAAACACGTTTTCTCAGTTGGTTTAATGTCCATCTTTTAATGTCCATCGTCTTCCCATATGTCCTCCGTTGCTGCGGCAAAGCTAAACGTGTGTGACACTATATTCCTGCCAGATATCAGCCGTCGCTCTGGAATTGATCAGTCACAATGTTGTCACTTGAGTGGTAGAAGATGTTTTTGCGAGGGGGCAAATTTGAGTTTCTTTATGTTTTCTAAAGGAGTCTTTGTGAGTCTTTGGCAGACAATAGCATATTGTGTGTAATTTGGCCTGGAATTGTACCAGTATTCACAGTGCGATAGTATAAATATAACATAAATATACATCGTCAAATCTTTAAACCCCTCAGTAGCCTGGAGTGCCATTACGAACATCTCTCACTTTTCCATGTCCAGGCAGTGTGCAACGAGTCCATGACAGAAACCATCCACTGCGGATGAAGTGCGCCGTGTGGCGCGTTGACCACCGGGAGGCGCTGTTAGTTCGTTGATGGCAGGAAAGGCTTCTTCACCAAGCAGTAAAAGCAAAGGGCGTGTAAACACGCTTTGGCAAAGATGACCTCAGCGCCCTCAATGAACTTCATGAAGTTAATATTTCACTTCCAACCGTCCGCTTCCCAGCTGTTGGTTTCTATACTGGGATTTACGCCCCCCCCCAATAAAAAGAGCGGCCGGCCGCTTGATTTGCAGAATAATGTCACCTAACTAACGAAAGCTCATCGTTGGTTGTGGGATTCAGATAATATATTTAATATGGGAGGAGGAAAAAAGGACTCCCCCCTCTCCCGCCTCCCTCGAGGAGGAGCGGAAAGCAGAGGGGCCGCAGGGAGCGAAGGGACCGACCGTGAGTTTAGGGAGAGTACAAAATGTAACCTCCCCCCCTCCCGGACGGTACGGCAAGAGAGACAGAACGAACCTCCCCCGGGCTCCTGTGTCAAGGTCCTGAAGTTCAGTCCCCCCACCAAAAAAATCTCAATGCCTCCCTTCAAGGAGGAGGCGACACTCCACCCGGGTGACTCATTGTGGCCCCCTGGGGGCCTGTGTGTATGTGTGTGTGTGTGTGTGTGTGCGGGGGGGGGGGGGTGCTATAGTTGCCATACTTTTCTCCGCCTCGTGTTTGTGTTGTGCTGCAGGAACCGGGTTCTCCGGGCTTGACCGCTCTTATCAGGAGGGAGAAGACACAACCGCGGCTCTCTCGCAGACTAAACACGCGGCGCAGCTCTTAGCGAGGGAACAACGTTTGTGTCAATTTCCACCGATTCACAGGACAGAAAAAGGAAGCAAACTTATTTTTTCTGGGACGGGAGTCCACACCTTGGGGGAGTTTTCTCGTAAAGCCCTTCGATGCCTCTCCCTGGATTTGGGAGGACTACTCGGTGGAGACGTGCGGGTCACAGCAACCTGGGGTTGCCTTAGCAACGGCTAAGGAACGTGGAGTTGCCCTGGCAACAGATGAAATGAGGGGTTACCCTGACAAAAAAGCAACAGGAACTCATTTAGAAAGACCTCGCTGTCCTTTTTCAGACTGATAGCTGCAGAGATGATGGGCACAGTAATAATACAATGAAAAGGACAATGTTGTGGTGGAGTCAAACATATTCCCATCTCTTTATTTTGACACACAGGATAAACCCACCTAATAAACACTAATCCATATGCTGAGGTGGTGTCCTCGGTGACCAGCCAGCCACAGCTGTGTGTGTGTTCACACCACTAAGGAGCAAAAACAAACGTCTAGTCTTTGTTCCGTGTAAAAAAAAAAAAAAAAAAAAAGACTGTTTACAAGGTTAGTACAAAAAACAGCCATTTATTGTTATCACTCTATTAAAGTTAAACACACAACACTATTCTGAGCTTTTTGTTGATCCTGTCCGTGCTCACTTGAACACTGTAAATATTAAAACAACATGGTTTTATTTAAACGCTACCGAACCAATTTTCATTTTATATTGGCACTAAAAGTACACGACAGACAGCCATAGGAGCAAGCATGCATTGCAAACAAAATGTACAGTACAATATTGAAGAAAAAACAAACACTGGCAACATGGGCAAAGTTATTTAGACGTTTCCTTTTTGCATTACTTCAGTTACACGCTCAGGGTCTATCCTATCAAAGTCAGAAAATGACAGACAAACATCCAAAGCACTGATAAGACCAAACGACACGAGGACACCAGCAGATTCTGCATCCTTTTCAGTTGACAGTTTATGAAAAGATCATTTGTTAAAGCGGGGCGAAATCGTCCTGCAGCACAGACCTGTAGTTTCAGCCGCACACTGTGGTGGTGTACGTGGCTGATCTTAGATCAGTGTATTGGACCAGGTCCCTTTTAAACGCCCTACTGGAGCTGAAGTAGGATCTACTCATCAGGCTTCCTCTTGGGCTTCTTCGGGTTGCGGGAGCGGCTCTTGGCCTTGCACAGCGGGCAGATGGGAGCATTACGATGAATCTGCTGGTGGCAAGACAGGCAGGCCTGGAGAGAGGGGGAGAAGTTTAGAGCCATCGCTTCACATCGCGCCTTCCTCTCTGTGCTGTGTCGAGAAGCATCTTTGTCAGGTGGCACGTGGGCGTGTCGGACAGAGCTTATTCTTCGCTTTATTCAACTTTGGGCTGGTGTGTTAGTTGTTGGGTTTTTTCTCCTACGTTTGGCACCACTAGGACTCGGAAACATGCCGGAGACTCACTAAGCTTTTTTCGTGACACAGCGAAACGACTAAGTGCAGCAAAACTAAATAAAACTTGGGTCCTAGATTACTGCCGCTTTGTTTTCAGGTCCGACCGTTCAACAACTCTTCAGACTCGCAAAATGTGATTTTCCTTCAAGGTTGCAGCTCTTTTTAGGGCAGCGGGAGGAATACCTTCATAGGCGGGGGCTGCTGTCTGAAGGTGGCCGTCTGGCGTGCATCTTGCTTCCTGGAAACCTGAAGCTGCTGAGCTGCCGCTGCGGCGGCAGCGAGGGATTCTGGGATGGCGGGCTCATGCGGCTCCTTCTGCCACTCCGCTTTCTGCTTCTCAAAGTAGCTGTTTGAAGAAAAGAGAGAAAAAAAGAAAAAGATAGACGAAAAATCTGGCTGGCTGCGATGCTTATTTAGAGCTTATGAATCATATCACAGTTGAGATTATCCCATCTACTCTGCGTATCAAGAGATGTGGAGTGGCAAAACCAAATATAAAAGGCGACTAAAATTGAAGAGCATTATAGACAATCTCACACATCCTCTTTGTATGTATAACTCCACGGAAAGTACTTTTATCGGGAGGGTGTTTGTCTGCTTGCATGGGAGCGTGTCAGTGTGTGCGGAGGGCTGGGAAAGAAATGTGGCCTTGGACTTTATGCCTCACTGGCCCATTTTCAAAATAAGAAAAGTGATATCCCATTACTTTGGGCTCTCTGGTTTCTCTCAAAATAGGTTTGTGACCGAGTAGAGCATTAACAGAACCAATGTAACGTGTCCTGCGACCATGAGCCACCAAAGCACCGACTAACACATTTCATCATGTCGGCCTTGATATGGATTCCATGTCTGTCCCGTCTTAATAAGACATGCTATTCAAGTTGGATCGTTTGCTATTACAGACATAGTAAAAGGCTCACTTTTTGGGCTGAAATCACCGTCACGTCTTATCTTAAAATGAGCCCCCCTTCCCTCGAACAGTGGCGCGATCGAAGTGTTAACACTGTTCATTTGGTTTTTTTTTCCTGCCACCAAAATGTGCAAGTGTTAGTTTTTAAATCTCCCAGATATCTCGCCACAAATCCGCCTGAGAAGAGGCACCAGAGTGAAGCGTCGGTCGGAACTCTATAAGTACCTTGTAAACTCGGGAGGTGGGGGGGAAGCCCAACCACCAAGAAGGAAAAGCGAGACGCGTACCACCTGGCCAATGAACTCGTCCTGCCAGCTTCCACAGCACAACGCGGCCAAAAGCAGCAGAGCAGCAGTGGCCCATCAAACCTTCCCTAAACTCGGGCTCTTCATTTGAAAAGACGATTAAACAAATTCCACTGCATAAAATATCCCTTCTAACCAAAGTGAGAAAAATAACCTGACATTCTGAAACAACGCCCCCCCCCTCCTCTCCCCCGCCTGGCGCTGCCTTAATGTACCCGTGAGTAAGGGACCACAGCAACTGGCAGATTGACGACAGGAAAACTGGGTCAATATTTCCGTCTGCACGGTAGGTAGAGGAACAGCTCACACGCAAAAGCACATTTTAAAACAACTGTCCTGTGTGTGATCGTTGGTCCGATTGCACAACCTCAATATCCCAAAGAAAACGGTTCCATCTTGATATCGACCCCAGTTGGAGGATGTGCGGCTGCTCTCTCCGTGCAGCTGGGAGTCCGCCGCCGCCCCCCCCCCTGGGGGGGGGATTCGGCGTGCAGGGCTGTGGGTGACCGGGACATTCTGGAGCTACCAAATGGATTTATTGCTCTGCGGCTTTTGCAAGGCACCGAATCATGCGGAAAGGAGGGGCAATTAAGTTGGATATGAACGTCCGAATGGGCCAACGGAGCTGAAGGGACTATCGCCTATCGGAGGAACTGAGTCGGATGTCCTCTACATTACCGCAGAGACACACCAGAGGCTGTGCGCTGCAGAGACATGGGGGTAAAAATAGAGCGGGACGTTTCAGAAAGGACATTGGGTGTTTTGTTCTGATCGAAGTCAGTTAAATGAAATGATTGTCTTAACCTGATTAGTCTGTAGTTGAGTGACTGCATGCAAGCATGGTCGTGGTGCAGCTGGAGATATTTGTTAATAATTTCCTCTATAACTTTAGTGCTGTATTCATTTTCCAGGAAAGCGCTCAATCAAACCAGAAAACACTCATACTTGATACTAATCATTTTAAACTATGTCATTCACACGGAGGTACACATACCATGTGGTTATTTATGTACACACATATATATACAGTGTAAATATAGTAGAAAATAATTTTGAAACAACCTGTTCAAAACAGCTTTCATGATAAACAAATAAGAAACATATTCAAGTTGGATCCTTCTAGACCATTGATGACCAGAGGGTCGTGTCTCACTAAGGGTATTGTGGTGAAGTGAAAATGTCCGTATCGTTTGAAGACCAATACAGATAAAGGAGTTATTGTGCTACAGCACACGCAGTGAATTGCTAAGATCTACTGTATTCATGCTGTGTTCTGCGCAGGCAGCTGCGGATTACAGAAAACGATTGTGAGCATCTCTGTCCCTCTCCGCCGTATGGAGCGGTGAGTAAAAAAGTATTTATAATCCTGTGTACGATTAATTGTGTCCTACTGCACAATGTGAGACTTGTTACTGTGGTCAGAGGCTTTCTGAAGGCAGAGATCACAATTATGATGCGTGAAAGGTTTTGGCTAATTATACTTAGGGTTTTGAATCTACGAGACTAATCTGAAATCGGATCCTTTGTGCTCTTTACAGTTTACAAAACCAACTTGTTTTCACAGCCTATAAACGTAGCACCACATTCTGAAATGACACCGCCGCCGCATTCACTTAGCGGCTGCAGGTGTGATGTACTTCTCAGGTGGACTTTGACAGTGACCATCGAGTACTTCTATTGTTTACTTACTTTTTACTTCTCTGAATGCCATTACCACGCATCGCATCCCAGAGAATCTGTTTGCTTACACTATAGATGACATAGGTAAATGGACCTATACACAAATTTAAAACCGAATGGACTTTGGGTTTGAATCATGAATTATGAGATTTGACTGTTCAAACGAAACCTGTTAATCACATCGCCGTGTTAGTTTCACACTTATGTCCGAAGGGGCATATAATCCGCTGTAAAACACACACAAAGCAAAATTTGGTCAAACTAATCTTACTGTGACTGTGTGTGTGTGTGTGTGTGTGTGTGTGCGCGTTTGTGGGTGTGTGCATACTGACTCCAGGGAGAGCTTCTCTTCTTCTTCGTTCAGGTTGGGGAGTCGGTGCAGGCCTAAAGTCATCCTGAGGGCATCGACGTGCTCCTTCAGAGGTTTGTACTCGTCATGCAGCCGGCGAGTGGTTTCTAGCAGCTTGTTCAGGTCATTCTCCGACTGCTTGATGGTGCTCTCCATCTGAGAGGGCAGGGACGGGTATTTCAGAACAACAACAGTGACAGGCCCGAGTGTAAGCTATTCCTGGTTGTCATCACACGTCCACTGTGGGACTATTAAAGGATTCTCTTATCATTGTACAGTAAAAATAACACCGAAGGACTGACGTTGCGTTTACTTCATCGTTATTATGCCGTGTTTATCTAGCATTGCTAAGATGTACCGAACCCGAGATTCCAGCGGCACCACACAGAACGTGTGTATCTGCGAACGGCCTCGCTCACCACATTTATGTCCGCGTGGATGAGCCGCAGCTCTTCCACGTGGGCCATTTTCTCTTGAAGAAGCAGATCCATCTCTTGTTTGTACTCTTTCAGGTGCTTCTCCTCCGACTCCAGAGCGTCAAACTCAACCTTAAGACGGGACTTGATCTTCTGCATCTGGACGGTCTTGTTCCTGCAGACAGTGGCACAGACAGAGACGGAGAGCGGCTGTCAGGTCTCAGATGCAAACAAAGTGAGACGTGTTTACCTCGCAAAAAACGAGCACATCTAAAACAACAGCATGCCGCGCGGGGCTTTGCATAGGACTACGATGGCGAATACCTTCACAGAATAACCTCAGCCGTTCATTCGTGTATTGAGTGCACGGATTCACGCACATCTGGCACGCAGTCACCACGCGTGGCTTTCAAACACCAGTCAGTGAGAAGATGACAGGCCGATAAGCTCGCTAGCTAAGCTGCTAGCTTAGCCACAGAAACAAATTAGCCCCGCACATCTGGCATTTCGTTGACGCACATCTGGAACGTTGACGCGTGTGGGATCCGAATATGGACGTCGACCACAGCTTCTCCGCATCTAACGTTACGTTTCTTATTCGGCCCGGTGGGAGTGTTTCCGTAGCCGCGTTGGAGACGAGCAGGAACAGCGAAACGCCGGATGAACACACGGGGGGGGTTCGCAGCAGTGCGGCTAGCACTAGCTAGCGTTAGCTCCTTAACAAAAGCCAAGTCAAGGGGCTCACACTTGGCCGACTGACGTTAGCTAAGGTTCCGTTCGCCGGTACGAGCTAAACACCTGGCAGCGTTACGCGCTCGCGCCTCACCGTATTTCCAAGATGTTTTCCAACTTGCACATTATCTCTTGTTCGTCCGCCATGGTTGTCGTTCAGATGAGCAGCTCGGTTCCCCCGTGAGGTCACGGTGGTCTCCTTGTTGATAAAAAAAAAAAACACAATGGAAGGTGTGAGCGCGCCGACGAGCACGCGCCCGCAACGTGAAACCATGGCGACGAGTGACGCGGTCGCTGCCGTACGAAGCCCGGCAGGGACACTCGAATGAAACACCAGCGTAACGCTTCGCTCCGCACGAGCATTTACTCTGACGTTGGATTGATAACAGTACATTAACGGCGGGTTTATGAATAGTTTTGAGGGATAGGTGGGGAAATCACCTGGAAAAACAACAAAGGAAAAAAAGAAAGAAAATGTTTTTTCATATCACGGAGAAGGTCAAGTTTCTCTCTATCTATTAGTTTATATTAGCTGTGCTGTAGCCACAAGTGAATCATCCAGAGGAAACACGTTGGAAATCAGGACGAATTGCAAAACATGTTACCACATGTATTTTTGCACACACGCACACACAGTATTTTTGTTTTATACTAACCCATAGCCTTAGCCTTATTCTACTAACCCATTGCATTAGCATTTCATTCCACTTTATTTTATTACTTGTGCACTGTTGTCTTGTCTGTCTACTGTCGCGCACTAACCGCCAAGACAAATTCCTTGTATGTTTGACATATTTTGGCTAATAAATGTTTCCTGACATTGAAACTAAATTATACATTTGGATACATCCACATTGCAGAAGTATTTAAAAAAGTACAACCCTGTTAGCTATCACACTGTCCTGTTGAGCAGCTAACAACGGGCCGACAAACCGAAAAACAACACCGCCCTGACCCGAAAATCACTGTATGCCATAACTTGCGCTTAAAACATTAACTCAAAAGATTATTAGATTAGCAGAGTGTGCTGGAGCCTTCACTGCCACTGGAACACCAAGTGCTACCAAGTTAGGCCGACTCCTAATTTGTGTACCTCTGTAAATAGGTTTGGGAGACGGAGATCGTGTCGAGGTTTCGACTAATGATACTCAATCAAAATCTAATCGATTAAAGAGGAAAAGTCTTCAAAGTAGACGAAGGTGGCTTCCCTACAAACATGTGGGCCCCAGACTGCCAGACCTGGATTAACTCAGGGAGAAGTAGCCTACTTGGGAGCAATACAATGGTCCATTCTCATACCGTAATAATCCTTGAAGGTATTGCAAGCAGTTTCATATGACTCCGCAAAGAAAAGGCTACTTCAAGCAACTCTCCGAAGAAGTTTATCGGCTACAGATTAAAAAAATACAAATGTCAACTGTAAGTAGCTAGCCTTTATTTTATAATAACTTCATTCTCACTGTATTTTATACGTGCAGTATTTGTTTTGCAAATGTAGTGGTTTGTGAACCTGCTTTGGTATCAAAAGGCGACCGTTGGTCCATAGCTCTCAAACTTAAGAGAACATTCTTTTTGGAGGTGTGAAGCTTTCATGCCAGGCTGACAGATGTTTCTAATTGGTTGTGTTTGTTTTTCCTGGATTTATTGGGCTTTGTCAGATATCCAGATAAACAAAACAAAAAGCTAAGCGTTCCCTTTTCGTGAATATTCATTGACGCAGTCGGTCCCCAGAGGGTGATCAGCAAGGTAGTACCACATGGTTGTAATATTAGCATAGTTTCTCTGTAATGAAGCCATCCGCTTCTCCTCTATTCTTCTTTTTTTGTCTTTCTATTGTACAAGTCAGTCTCTGCAACTGATAATATGTTTTACGTTAATCGGGTGTCATTGTGTTGACCCAGTCGTTAATACTCATGTATCATTGGAATGAACCGCGTGTTCTCAGTTAAGTCTAAAATATACTGTGGGCTTCATTTTTTGATTGTAGTCCCCACCAACCTCTTGCGATTGGATGCTCCTGGTTGAACAGAAGAATGTAAGGAACACTCTTTTTGGTCATTTTTTCTGTCAAAGAACCAAGAAATGTAGCATTGTTTCAGAGAAAAAACTAAATGGTCACAAAGTTGGTTGTGCCCCCCCCCCTGCCCCTCCCACCCCTACCCCCCTCAGCTGATGTTGTTCTGCATGCTCCTCCAGTGACACAGATGAATGAGCATCAGGCATCTTGTTCCCCCTGTGGCTCAGTGTGAGTGTTTTCTCTGGCAGATAAATGTCCGCGTTACCACCATGGATGCTGAGCTGGAGTTTGCCATCCTGCCCAGCACAACGGGGAAACAGCTTTTTGACCAGGTACACTGGGCACTACCGTCAAGCAGGTGCTTTGACATGCAGGTGTGTGTGTGTGATTGTCTTACTCATTGGTATGTCTAGATAGTGAAGACGATCGGGCTGAGGGAGACCTGGTTCTTTGGCCTCCAGTATCAGGACAGCAAAGGTTTCTCCACCTGGCTCAAGCTGAACAAGAGGGTGAGGAGAATGTCTCTCTCTTCATACCCAGTCATGACATAACTCAACTCCCCCGACATTTGGATTTAAATGAAGACGTAATCATGCTTATGCTTTTGGTTATGCTACTGTTACCCCATTGAGACTAATTAGTACGTCTTTCTTTATTCCGGCATCCCCTCTGTTGCCGGATGCCGATCCCAGGTGACAGCTCAAGATGTGAAGAGAGACAACCCTTTGTTGATTAAGTTCAGGGCCAAGTTTTACCCCGAGGATGTCGCGGATGAACTGATCCAGGAGGCAACCCAACGCCTCTTCTTTCTGCAGGTTGGGAAAAACTACAAGCACATTGTCTTAATCAGGAAAATTGGCAACCCTGAAACAAGGGATGGAAAATTGGCGTCACTGTAATTAATTAGATTTGAATGGAATGAGAATTATCAAGACCCGCTCATGTACTATTGATGTATACTAAACATCGCACATACAATTTAAATTCAAACAATAATAGGAATCAACATTAAGAAATCTGGACAGAGTGCATGTGATATTGCTATCAAGGCTGTCTCATGCAAGTTCCTCTAGCAGAGGAAAAGATGAATAAGGGATATTTTTCAAAGGGATCAAAGCAAAACACTAAACCTGTCTTAACGGCAATCGGGGATTCCACGATGAATCATGTAGATCCTGTTATCCCCTCTTGGCTCTTCTATAAGGGAGTGCACACACACAAAGGAGGGTGCACTAAATTAACACCACAACACGTTTCTCACTTTCTCACAGTTGTTCCCCCGCTGTAGGCCGCATCAACATCAACACCAACACCAACAACACCATTGAGTACGATTCATATATCATCCCACAACACAACTGGGTTTTTTGCATTCAAGCTGATCTTTTTTTTTTCTTTTTTTTTAACGTGTCTCAGGTTAAAGAATGCATCCTAAATGACGACATCTACTGTCCACCTGAGACTGCGGTGCTCTTGGCCTCGTATGCGGTTCATGTCAAACAAGGAGACTACAGGAAGGACTATCACGTCTCGGGATACCTCGCTAGAGAGAAGCTGCTGCCTCAGAGGCACTGAGTCCTACGGTTATGAGTGTTAACCAAAGTTCAACCTAATGCCAGTTTCAGCCATCTGAATTCTAACCGATGTGTCCTCTTAACTGATAACACCAGGGTTTTGGAGCAGCACAAGCTGAATAAAAATCAGTGGGAGGATAGAATCCAGGTGTGGCATCAAGAGCACAAGGGATTGCTGAGGTACTGCAGTCTTACTTTAACAAAAAAGGCATTCATGCATTCATTTGTAAGAAGGTGTTCTGTAAGACATTCAATTCTTCCGCACCACAGAGAAGACGCCATGGTGGAGTACCTCAAGATAGCCCAGGATCTGGAGATGTACGGGGTCAACTACTTTAACATCAAGAACAAGAAAGGATCGGAGCTGTGGTTGGGAGTGGACGCACTGGGGCTGAACATCTATGACAAGAAGGACAAGTAGGCTGCATTTTCAAAATGTCTCCATCGACATTCGTGGTGTCCAAAGGACAACTACAGTCAGAGCGTCATAATAAAGTCACAATAAAGTCACAATAAAGTTCCAACACTGATTAAAGACCACAATAAGCTCGGTTAAATAATGTTAAATAAATATTTTACAGGATGACCCCGAAAATTGGCTTCCCCTGGAGTGAGATCAGGAACATTTCCTTCAACGACAAGAAGTTCCTCATCAAACCAATTGACAAGAAAGCTCCGGTATGCAAAACACATTACTGCTATTGATTAATCCGCAGCAGCTACAAACTCTTTGAGGCGTGTCATTACGTGAAACTCCGCACAGGCCACATTGACAGGAGGTTTAGTCACGGGTTTTTTTTTCTTCATACCTACAGTGAGACTTTGCGTGGGTATGTTGATCTTTGAGCTTATTTTAGCCAAACCCAATTCATCGGTCTTTGTAGATGGGATTAAATAGCTGCTTCTTTTACCAGTGCTTAGGAATTAATCATAGTGCTCATTAATTTAGCATTAGCGATTTTTATGAAACAGTTTCTATCCAACAAGAACTTCTTCAGAGACACACCTATTCATATTTATCTGCTGCAATTATAAGCAGGAGATGCAAGACGATTTCACATCCTCGTTAATAGGGAAATGACCATTTGTTCACATGCGTAAGTAGTTTAATGGCGGCAGCTGCTACTTTGTTGCACTCACAAACATGGATTCAGCCTCACACTTTAATTTCCGCGCGACTTGAGCAAAAGCCAATTGCTTACTAATTAAAAATTGATTTATTCTCCCAAACAAAACAAACCCCTTCTGGACGCAAACCTAATGTCATCTGTAAATGAGATCTGATGATGTGTCATAAGTCCCTGAATGCTCACTTTTGTGTTAAAGGACTTTGTTTTTTACGTACCCCGTCTTCGCATCAACAAGCGTATCCTGGCGTTGTGTATGGGGAACCACGACCTTTACATGCGCAGACGTAAACCCGACACCATCGAGGTGCAGCAGATGAAGGCCCAGGCCAGGGAGGAGAAGAACAAGAGGCAGATTGAGAGGTGAGGAAGGAGGACATAAAGAAGCCTCATTCTCTTCATTTTTTAAAAAGTTTACAGTGTGTTCTCTTTGCTTTAAGAAAGAACTGTCAGGGGATGTAGTTTTTTTTTTCAGATGTGTATTTATGCACAATTCTCCTGTCAGGGCTCTGCTCGAGAGTGAGAAAAAAAAGCGAGAAAATGCTGAGAAGGAAACAGAGAAGATTGCTCGTGAGACCATGGAGCTGATGGAGAGATTGAGACAGATTGAAGAGCAGACAAAGAGAGCTCAAGATGGTCTGACAACTTTCTGAATACAAATGTTTTTCAAACTTGAGTTGTATTATTTTTTTTTCTGTTTAAGAACATCAAAAGCGGCGCGCAGTGCTTTGAGATATTTGTGATTTTTCGATTTCTATGAAGCTTATACTATCTGGACCCGTCTAGCTATATGTGCAGGATGATTTTTTTTGCGCTCGGGTGCATTTGGGTTTCAGAGCTGGAGGAGCAGACTCGCAGGGCCCTTGAGTTAGAGAAGGAGAGGACAATTGCTCTGGAGGAGGCTGAGCGGCTGGACAAGGACCGCAGAGCTGCAGTGGAGGCTAAAGCCGCCCTGCTGCACCAGTCTGAAACTCAGATCAAGAGCCAGGAAAGTCTGGTAAAAGAAACCTTTTTGAAATCCAATGTCACTTCAATCGATCGAATTCTAAAGTGGATTGCATTCCAAACTTTAAAAAAGAAAAGAAATGCTGGAAAGTGATCATTCCAATTTACTTTACATTATATTTCCCTATATTGATTAATCCACCTTCGAGCTGATAACTAAGCTATTGAACATCAGGTCATCGAGGCATTTGCAAATTCTGCCCTGACGCTATACTTTGAATTGTTCTTATTTTTAGCTGATTGAAAAGAAGAGCAATTAACCTGGGCACATAACGTACATAATTACACGCACAAACACACGCACATGTTCTCTCTAACACACGCGCCCCCGCAGACAGAGCACAATGACCTCAGATCAGCAGCGCTCTTAACTCACTTCCCATTTGTGTGCGTGTGCGTGTGTGTATAGGCCACTGAGCTGGCAGAGCTTACCTCTAAGATCTCCCAGCTGGAGGACGCCAAGAAGAAAAAGGACGAGGAGGCGGATAGATGGCAGGAAAGGGTGAGAATTACTGAAAGAACCACGAGAGAGAGATAAAGGATGAATCAAACATGAGCAAAAAGGGATGTCTGACACTTCTTAGCTTTTGGCCCGGGTAAAGTAGAAGGAAGGTGTCGACCACAGAGTACTATACAAGTAGACTTTCAGATTGGGATTGTATGAACTCGGGTGTCACTTCATTGTCACGGGTATAGCAAGCCTCAGCCCTTTGATGCCATAGTTGGTGAAAAGAAACACATTAAAAGTAGATGCAAATTTGCGTATGCTAATAAGAAGTGCTTTGCTGAACTTTCCGTTGGCACATTATTTCCACTTTATTTCTGTTATTTTAATGACCAACGGAGACTAACCCCGGACAGGTAACAAAGTAGTGGAGGACAACACATTTGGTAAACTTTAATGGTAAACTTTCCTTTTAATGGCGAATTCTGTACGAAAAACATGTCAGTGTAGATTATTTGTTATAAATATATTTTTAGAGTTACGACAAATACTGAACCGGTTATTAATTAGTCTCAAGTTAATAATGATGCCTCTATATAATCTATGTAAGCAAGGAAAACTATTGAAAAGTCCAAATATCTAAAAATAGGAAAGGTAATCAATAGGCTTAGTAAGGCGAGTCACATAACAGTAGTATTGCTCTTGAGTCCGATTTCACCACAACAACAGACTAAATATCTAAAAAGGGGCCGTGTTAGAACACGCTAGTGGGCTCCCTGCACTTGAATATCCATCTGCAGCTACAGCGCTTTGTGTGTGTGTGGGTGTTCGTAGGCAACGGTGGTCGAAGCTGATTTGGAGCGAACCAAAGAGGAGCTGAAGACTAAACTCATGGGCGTCCACATCCAAGACTCAGTCCACCCTCCTATGCACGAGCACGACGAGACGGACGAGAGCAGCGCCGAGGCGAGCGCCGAGCTGACTTCCCCGGACATGGTCCGGGACCGCAGTGAGGAAGAAAGAGTGACGGAGGCCCATAAGAACCACCGGCTGCAGAAAAAACTCAAGGTACGGTTAAGTGAATGCTATCAAATCTGCTGTTCTCTTGTTCGCCGTAAGGTCAGAGGTCATGGTCAGATAGAGATTAGCAGTCCCTGGGCTGCCCCGTCGCTTTTGAGAGTTTATGGCTCTATGGCAATGTCGGTCCGTCAGCCGGATGATAATATTTGGACGACGGCAGAATGGATTGCCATAGAATTACATAGACAAGTTCATGGTCCCCAGAGGATAAGTCCCACTATTATGATGACTTTTCAATAAGTATTTTGTCCTCTGCCTTCACCATGACGTTGACACATTTAATTTGGAGTAAATCTTGGCAGCTATTACATATTTTAGCCATTTGCCTTTTTATCTGGCCACACAAGCTTAAAATGTCCATAAATACATGAAAAAAGGGGGTGGGACTCCTGCGTCCCCGGTCACACATTGTGTTTAGTCCTGATTCCTAAGTCCTAAATGTCAGCACACCCACTGGCTAAATTACCCGATGAATACTAACTACTACACATCAGTATGACTGCATTGTCACTGTGGACATGTCAATTATGCAGACAAAAGCATTTTGCTCAAAGCACCGTTGTGCCTAAGTACATCTTCTGAAGACTTAAACTGGATCACTGACATCAGTTCTTCAGAACAGTTTTGTGATAAGTCATTTTTAAAGGAACTAGTCTCATGTCAAACTTACTTAGAGCCCATACTATTTGATTTAGGCTTAATACATTTCAGCAGTTTGTTTGTTGATTGCCACTTTTAGAGTGTGTGGTTTGGAACCCACATTCCTGTTGCTACAGGGAGACTTTTCTAAGTGTTTTTGTACGTTCGCTGTGTTGCCCGTTGACAGTAATTTAGAGGTTTTGACTCTGCTCTAAATATGGCAGCTTAATTGCCACCACAACATGTGTTTCACCCAGAACTAAGTGCACTCTGCATAATAAAACGTTGCCGCTAGTACATTATCATTCTATTGGTTTCATTCAATTCGCAAATCTCATCCAGACCCTGGCCTGTAACAAATGAAATAACATTGGTCTGTATCTCACAGCCCAAACAAGATATGGTGCAGAACAGAGGACTCAACACAGAACTGAACTTAATAACTATGCACAATGGCGTGTTTTCAGATGGGGATTGAGTGGAGTACAGGGGTGACTGGAGAGGGGCAAAGCTTCTGAATGGTCTCCCAAAGATTCTGAGGAAAGGGGATCTTATTCACTGCGTGTTTGTGTTCTCTTTCAGTTCCTGAGCACTGAGCTGGCTGGAGCTGTAGACGAGAGCAAGAAGACCCCCAATGACCTGATCCACGCTGAGAATGTGAAGGCGGGCCGCGACAAATACAAGACCCTTCGCCAGATACGGCGGGGCAACACCAAACAACGCATTGACGAATTTGAGTCCATGTGAGAGGGGCTGCTGTAAGCCCGCTCAGACTGCAACATCAGAATAGTTGATGAAATGAGACACATCGAGATATTTTAGAAGCATGTAGATGCAGATTATTGCATCTGTAGAAAATGAACCTGACATAGCGGGCTGAAAATAATCTTAAATTATGCTGTTACCGTTTGTGGAAGTCCATTATTGAACTTAATTTCATCTGGAAACAAGTGAAGACAAGTTGAAAATACATTTATGTTACATGGAAACAAAAAAACACTTTCGTGGTCCACTTAAATCATAATCCATGCTGTGATTTATGAAATCAGTTGTCCTTTGTCCTTGTAAATCACAAAAACATTGCCATTCCAATTATTCCAACCAATGAAAATGTCATCGACATTCATTAATGAGAGCGATGACATTTAAGATACTTCCAGCATAATGTTTTCATCATCGCAGAAATAAAAATACACGGAAACTCCATCTGTTTTTTCCATGTGAAGAAGGCCACATCACCTTGACTGTGCCTGGAAAACTGTTCCAACGCTGCAATAGAATTAATATTGTTTTTCTTTATATATGAACAATTTCTTGAAATATTGAAATATTGTTATTGTGCAGGACACTATGTATTACATCTGTGGCGTAAATGTATCCACCGGACAAAACGGGACATAAATATCGTGTATGTCCCAAATGAACGTGGCAGCTACCAGGCGGCGCGCCGCGGAGAGCCGCGTCCCGTCATGAATCGGTCCCGGCCGGCTGTTCTCGCGAGACTCCTCAGAGTGCCAGAGTACAAAGTCAAGTCACAGAGTTCAAACCGTTATTTAGGACTCTTTCCTTGACTCAACAGGCGGTGCCGCCCGGTACTTTGTGCGCAACGGCTAAAAACAAGACGAAAGTTAGCCGGCTCCTTCGTACGCGGCGCAGCCTCGACGGGACGTCCCTTTTTTTTTTTTTTTTCTTCCCCTGAAAACAACCTACGACGTCAACTCCTCTGAAATTTCGTGTCCGCTGAAGCGTACGAGCGGAGCCTCGCGGAGTGGGAGGGTTTGGTTTCGTTAGTTCGCCGTGCGAGCAGCGCGCACCGCTTCAGACCGCCGCGACGCGAGCCCGGAGATGGCCTTCAGCTTGAGCCTGTCCGACTTGGAGGAGACGTCAAACTCTTTGGCCGAGAACGAGCGCGATCGCCCGAACGCCGCGGACACCTGTGCGTGCGCGACCACGGCCGAGCTCAGCAAAGCCGTGTCCGTGTCCCTCAGTTTGGACTCGGCGTCTTCCCCGCTCAACGCCATGCACCCGTGCGCCGCCGGCGCCTTCGCAGACTTCGACCCCCACCCCGGCGCCGCCGCCGCCGCCGCCGCCGCGGAGAGCCGCTCCCGGAGAGCGCCGGAGTTCGGGGCGGCCCGAGCGACGCACCCAGAAGCCGCCCGCTTCGCGCTGAGCGGCGCCGACCCGAGGGGGGGAGGCGACGAGGACGACGAATTCGGAGAAGTGTGCCACGGCATTCAGCAGGTGAGCTGCATGGATCTGCTGCGCTCGAGCGACGCGGAGGGCGCGCGAGGCGAGGCGCGCGACTCGGTGATCGCCAGATACGTCTACAGGGAATCCAACTTGTTCATGAGCCCCGCGACCGAGCTGCCGGCGGCCTCTCAGCTGGACGGGCTCTTCCCCCTGAGACCGTTCTCCGCGTACTCGGCCGGCCCGAACCTGTTCAGGGACGCGCCGGGTGTGTGGCGCGCGTACAGCGGCCGATCGGAGCCGGAGAGAGCGGCATCCGGCGGACACGAGTTGTTGTGTAAATACTGTAACTGTGGACAAGGCTCTCTAGGATCGAGACCGCCATGCCGCTGTATCTGGTTCAACAAAGACCAGCAGGGCGGCAAAGGCGGCATGCAAGCGGCCGTGGCTCAAGGGTACGGCCCGCTGGAAAGTTACCAAAGTGCGGCTCCTCAGGAGCAGCTCGCCCTGTCCGCCATCAAGACCGAACCTTCGGTTTGGATGGACTGCTCCGATCGCAGTTTCAGGTGACAAAAAACACGCACACACACACACGTGCACATGCACATGCACGCACACACACTAAACGGATTTCAATGATTTGCTACGACTTGGTTTTAAATTTGCATCAAGTCAGGAGGGCAGCCTCGTTATAGAGCTACATTCTTTCCTGCCAGCCATTTTAGTCTCATATTTCTTTAATCAGTAACAAAAATGCAGATGAACTTTATACGCTTTAATCTGCCAAGCTTTACAATTGTTCTAAATAAGCCTGACCATGTCTGATTTGGTGTGTGTGCGTGTTTAGAATTGTAATGCCTTATCAAATCAATGACATTACTTTAGCACCTTCCGTTCTTCTTGTATTTTCAGCCGGACCCTGACTAAAAAGGAATTACTGCTCTTGCCACAAGGCAAACAAATCAAATGCTCTATTCTCAATTCTGAAACCTAGTCCAGCTGCAGAGACAGATGTGTCTCGGCATTTGTCCCCCAACACCCGCATGTGCTCTCAGCGGCCTTGGCCAAGATGTGTTTTAGCATCAAAGTTCACTCTATCCGTAACTTTCCACTAATACAACGTAATACATCAATGTCACCATAAACAAGAGATACAGCACCTGCTGTGTGCTCGCAAAAAAAAATAAAGACAATGTCCCGTTTCCACTTTTTCGAATCCTCCCCAAAAGCCTTAAACAGGCAACTGCAGAGTTCTTTAATCACAGGTGTGCCTGTCTTTCAGATCAAATCACTTTGTTATTGCACATTCAATCCCGGAACAGGGAAATATCCTACAGTAATTGGATTGGATTTAGGGAATTAGTTCCCTGAATGTCATAACAGGGAGCCTAACATCCTCTGAGGACATAGTGACATAGTGACATAGTGGCTTAAAAGCTTGTTACTATGCACGTCTTCCCGTCTTGTCTCTCTCTGGGATGAAACCGTAAAAGCCGCGTCGTATCCGCGCCTGCTCCGGAATCCTTTACAACAGTCTCACTTCTACTTCTCTCTCTGTGTGTGTGTGTGTGTGTGTGTGTGTGTGTGTGTGTGTGTGTTTGCGCGTGCAGAAATGAGGATTTGTTTCCAGGTGTGTACCTGTCGGACAGGAGAGTGTGTCAGGTGTGCGGTGATGATGCCTCCGGCTGTCATTACGGAGCTGTCACTTGCGGGAGCTGCAAAGTGTTCTTCAAAAGGGCCGCAGCAGGTGGGTGCGACAGAAAAAACAACAACGCGAAAACGCACTCGCGCAATTACTCAACGGCTTATTTAATTTCTTACGCCCACCCGTCCACGCGGGCAGGGCACCGTGACCTGACATTACGAGGTTGACTTGCTCGTTATCAGTCAACACCCACATATCTTCGTTCGGAGTGCGAGCCGAAGGCATTGTTGCGCTCGCTCCCTCAACCTCGTGGGGGGGCTTTTTTTTTTTCTTCTTTTTTCTGTACCACCAGGTAAGCAGAACCACCTGTGCGCCAGCCGGAACGACTGCACCATCGACAAGCTGAGGAGGAAGAACTGCGCCTCGTGCCGCCTGAAGAGATGCTTCATGTCGGGAATGAGCCTTAAAGGTGACGGGAACATCGGAGTGAGCGACCGGGAGAGGGAAGGCTGTGTGGTGGCTTATTTGGAAAGTGGCGTTATTGCAGGGCGGTAATGTGCCTTTGACGCATTGGATAAGAACCTATCCATCAAATGTAGCTTCAATACAGTCTTAAAAAAAAATGCATCAGCCACAGATGGAGAGCATTTGCCCCATGGTTATGATAAAGAACCGCTCCGCTGGTTGAAGCCCTTTAAGTACTAAACCACTCATATGATCGCCTTCCAGTCTTTTTTTTCCCCTAGCTATCTATTGTGTAATAAATTAGACATAACAAGTTGAAGTCGAAGCTTCTTATCTCCTTCTTGCCCTCATGTCTTCTCCTCGTCCGTATCGTCTGTGGCGCGGTTCTAGGTCGCAGGCTGAAGGGAAACGGACAGACGAGGAGCGCGGAGGAGGAGCAGCAGCAGCAGCAGCAGCAGCAGCAGCAGCAGCAAGGGTCTGGCGAAAGGGCCGGGAAGAGGGACGTCATGGAACCAGGAAGCGCAGCTGTCATGGCTCAGAGTGAGGATTCGGACGGCCGCCATCGCGCTGACTTGACACCGGGCACAGTCCATGAGAGGAGTCTCAGTATTTCCTTTTTGATTTGTCTGTGTGTGTGTGTGTCTTGAGCAGCATCTCAGGCCCTGGCTCTGGGCATCCCCCCGACCCTGCGCTCGTGCCTCTCCCTGCTCAGCGTCCTGCAGGCCATCGAGCCGGCCGTAGTCAACGCGGGACACGACCACGCGCAGCCGGACAGCCCCGTGTCCTTGCTCACCAGCCTCAACGAGCTGGGGGAGAGACAGCTGGTAACGGTGGTGCGTTGGGCCAAGGCGATACCAGGTAAAGCACTTCCGCTAGGTTTCAGGTTTCAGCCCCAATGCCAGACGAGCCCCGTCCACGGTGTCGGGCCCGAGCGGCAACGATAAAGCAACCACCACACGGTCAGCCGCGTCGGCACCGATAACGCGGACGGGCGGCTCAGTCGCTTCGTGGTCAAATGCGGAGCTCACATTTTCATACGCAGCAACGGAAAGGAAGATTTCAATGCAACTCCCATGTTCACAGTAATTATTCCGCAAAGCTCTACAGCCGCCAGGGACGAGTCTAATGTCTGATCTCAGAGCTGTTGTCATTGTGCAAGGCCTCAACCTCTTGCTCCAGAGATAACAGGCAATGCCAGGAGTCAGTGCCAGCTGAGCATCCCTTCAGTTTGTTCCGCTATCCGCCACTAGAGGGGTGTGTGATCACATTTAAGCCAAGAGTAGGTGGCCAACGTCTCCATTCTGTCATGACTGTAATTGGGTCTATTATATCCGCTGGTGTTATTAAGTGTTCTTTTCCCTCATGTGCAGATGTTTGGTTTAAAAGACAAAGTGTTCTCAACAGGTTTCCGTGACATGCACGTAGACGACCAGATGTCAGTGATTCAGTTGTCGTGGATGGGGGTGATGGTGTTCGCTTTGGGCTGGAGGTCATACACTCTCACTAACAGCTCCCTGCTCTACTTCGCCCCAGACCTGGTTTTCAATGAGTAAGTCGCGGGAAAAAACACTCCCTCTACACTCTGTAGTAGTTCACAACGTTGGGTTTGGAAGCCAACCAAGCACAGAGACGTTCCCCGTTCCTGTTTGTTCAGGTCTTAACCGCCATAATAGTCACATGGCCGTTAGGTCTTGTGGGAGTATAATTGCACCTGTCACCGCGATTTGAAGGGAAAGCCACAGGGGAATGTGCTTCAGAGGGTTTTTTCTTTAAATCACACAATGAACGGCGTGTTGTTCTAAGGTGAGGCGGTAAACAACTTTGTTCTACTTTCATCGTTTCCTTTTCGTCTGATATACGTGGCCGCGTGAGCGATCGCCTCAGATGGTTTATTCCGTTTGATCTTCCCCGATCCCACCATCAGTTCCCCCCCCCCCCCCCCCAAAGAACATTGAGGCGTTTCTTTTACTTTCTCGTTGACACGTTTTTAGAATCGCGCAGCAACCTCTTTTGATAACCCCCCCCCCCCAAAAAACATAACTGAAACCCGGGAGCTCGGACTTGGGGCTTTAATTTTCACATAAAAAAAAAAACATAAACAGAGATTGGTGGGGATATTTGTCCGAGAGTTAATTACACAAAAAAACATTCGGGCGTGCCACTTATGATTAATAAGTGGCTTGGTAATAAAAGAGATTTTTGCTTTTAAGTCAAAGCCAGCTCCACCCCCTTTTGGACTGCTTGCACCTCGTGGGGGTTTTCCCGGCGCATAAGAAAAACACCATTTCCGCCTCTCGAAACGCCTCTTCCTTGGGGCTTGCTTTCATCAGCACGGTAAAGAAACACCCGCCCCTGGTGCTAAACCTCATTTTTTTCTGCCTCTCTGTCGTTCTCTTTTTCCATTATCCACCTCATTCATTTTTTTTAACTTCTGCGGCTTTTTCTTCTTTTTCATTTCTGCCTCAATTAATTGTCTTCGTCCTTTCTATATTCCTCTCAGCCTGACCCCCCCCTCTGTCCCCGGCATTCCTGCTTATGTCACACCCGGTGCTCCTACTACCCCCTTGCCCCCCACCTCACAGTGTTTTCTTTTTCTCCCCCCCCCCCACTCGTCCTCACAGCCAACGGATGGAAGTTTCCAGTATGTATGAACACTGTGTGAGGATGAAGCTGCTCTCCCAAAGGTTCTGCATGCTGAAGGTCACTCAGGAGGAGTTCCTCTGCATGAAGGCCCTGGTCCTCTTCAGCATCAGTGAGTCTGCCGGGGGGGGATGTGGGGAGGGACACACGTTTGAAAATAATAACTTGAGCGCTGTGCAAGTGAAATACGACTGTTAATAGAGTTCTTCGGAGAATCGATGGGATGGATAAAGTCTCGGGGAGTTATCGCCGTGTGCTTTCTGTGCTCACAGTGCCAGTGGAGGGCCTGAAGAACCAGCGTTGTTTTGATGAACTGCGGACCTCCTACATCAAGGAGCTGGACCGCTTGGCCAGCCACTGCGGAGAGACCACCCGCACGCAGCGACTGTTTCAGCTCACACAGCTGCTGGACTCCCTCCAGTCGGTAATGGACACTATTTGCCTTCATTTGTCTGAAAGAGCACCCCGCTGGGACTTTGTTATAGAAGTGGCTTCTTAATTGACGCCACAGAACTACTGCTCGAGCAACAAATGGTGCAGCAAATCTGTGTTTTTTTTTGTTTGTTTTTTGTTATCAACTAACCAGGCGGCATCATGACGCGTTTGTCATTTCATGGCTGGTTGACTCTAGATCGAGGCGATCAGTTATTACGTGCAGTTACGGACAGACGTACATTAACCGTGACACCGTCCCAACAACAGTAACTCGCGGTACACCGGTTTGTGCACTAATTCCCAGCCATTGCCCAGGGGTTAAACACAGACCTTAAGATCATGTGACGGCATTAACGTCTCTTCACTGGTGGTAAATCAGGAGGGAAAAGTAATGAGTCACTCTCTGGTGGTTTTATTGCAATATAAATTATAACTGTAGAGTCCCACAACAAACTGACACACATTGTCCATGATGCGAAGAACCCTCTAGTCCAAGTCAACATTGTTTAAGGCCGGCTGGCTGCACTACAACACTGACCTCCGTGTTGTATTGACAGGAAGCAGCAGCGCTAAAGCAGATACATTCTGGGGCTGAAAACACCGGGAAAGAAATTCTGCCTCAAATTGTGTTTAAAATGTGCTGGAGAGCGCCTGCACGGGATCTCTGAACGGATTACCGAGGAGGAAGACGGAAGCACGATTATTATTTGTCCAAATTGGAATCCAGAGCAAACTAAAGCAACACAAGAAAAAGATTAACCAAGCTCTGTTTCTGAGAATGAGGGAATAAATTATTGACTCATCTGTTATTCATCTACAACAAACGTATGTGTATGAAGTGCTTCAAAAAGTCTAAATAAGTGTGTGTGTTTTCACATATACTGTGTGTGTGTGTGTGTGTGTGTGTGTGTGTGTGTGTGTGTGTGTGTGTGTGTGTGTGTGTGTGTGTGTGTGTGTGTGTGTGTGTGTGTGTGTGTGTGTGTGTGTATATACATATATATATATATATATATATATATATTACTCTTCCTAAATGATAAAAAGTACATCGTAAAATTCTGCCATCAAAATTAGCTGATTTTAACATCCAACATGGCGACTATACATCTTCATTTGTGTTACCAAATAAAAAAACTGTCACAACGAATGGTTTTTAGAACCCAAGTGAAGTCGGCGAAACCTGAAATAGATCATGATCCTTGGCACATTTATTGTATTAGTATACTCTGCTTTCATAGATTTCTTTATCATTTTTGAGCCGTTGCGGATTTGAACAAAGACTTTGTGGTATGCGCCCACTACAGGAACGCGACCACTGGAGGGCGTTAATCGACTGCTTTTTCCGTCTAGTGCTGCTGCAGCTTGTAATATTACAACTAGTTATTATCCAACTTATTTCTTTTTATCATTGGTTTGGGCGTGACCACAGGAGCTGGAAAGCTTCCTCCCTAACCGAGCCAAGCTGCAGCAGTGTCAGCCCCACGTCTTTCACTGTGGATTTACTCGTAAGGGCTCAGCTTTGTCAGCGGCCCACTCTCATCTGAGATCTTCTAATGCCATGAGGGCGAGAGGGCACCCGGGGATCTTCTGGCAGGTTCCTTTTAGGCAGAAAACCTGAGTTGATGAAGACTTTACCTTTCGGCTTTAACCTGCCTGCGGGGCTTACGGCGTCACAATGAGTGTCATCTTTTTAAATCGCCTCCGAAAGCTTGTGTCAAAAGACGGGCTTCGATGTCCTTTGCCGTTTCCTCTTTAATCCGGAGGCTTTGTCCTTTTTTTTTTGTTGTTTTTTTCTTCCCAAAACGCTGCACAAACGTCCGCTTCATCTCCGTTGCTAATAACCTCTCTCCTTTTTTCGCTTTTTCTACTCAGATTGTGAGGAAGTTGCACCAGTTCACTTATGATCTGTTCCTGCAAGCTCAGTCCCTCCAGACGCGGGTCAACTTCCCAGAGATGATCTCCGAGATTGTCAGCGTCCACGTGCCCAAGATCCTCTCCGGCATGGTCAAGCCCATCCTTTTCCACGATACGGCCTGAGAAGGCGAGCCGCCGTGTTCAAACGCCAAGAGAGGGTTTGTGATTTCACGAGGTGAAGTGAAACACTCGATCACAGTGAAGCCACGAACGGCATAAAGCACATTCTTCCAAATCTAATTGCATCCACTTTGTTATTCTTACCGCCTGCTATCTGTATTACACACGGCACGTGTTTCCTGGTGTCAATTTAAAATTAAAAAAAAAAAGCTATTTCATTTTTAGAATGCACTCTTTCCCACAGGCTCACGAAAGGCTTGTGAAACTGTCTGGCACGTAGAGGGCTTCATATTTAAAAGACGACGGGCTCTGTTTTATTTCAGGACGCAAGCCGGTGGTGAGAAAAGAGTTCACGTTGCCATTGCTTGTGTGTGTGCGCGCTGTGGTATATGATATTTGCACTAGCTTCTTAACAATCAATGTTATTGTGTGCACCTGAGATGAGGGAAGTTGATTGACAGTTGATAAACGGTTGTGGCACGCATGCTAAGACACTAAGCCGTCTCGCCTGAACACAAGGACAGGCGCATCCAATCAATAGGAATAATAGCCAACTAATCGTTTTTAGGTGTCCACAAAACAAACACGCTTTTAAACTGCAAGTGACTGCACCGATGCCAATTCCAAATGTATATTTATGAATTTTCTATCATCAAAATGTCACACTGAAGAAAACAATTGTACGAAGCGCTTCAACGGCATCAACAATGCTCGTTAGTCAACCAACTGTTTACTTTGCTTGTTTTGTATCTACTTATTCAAGTACAGTTTTTCCAGGGGGGACATTTCATACCGTTGTGACTTTTCTACAGTTTCTTAAAAAGTGTTCTTTGCAAGTGCTTTATTGTGTGTCATCGTGCACTCATTGTAGCTTTTCATATTTTTGCTTAAACGTTTGAAAAGTAGGGTCCAGCCAAGAATCTGCTCATTTTGTTGCAACACAGAAACAGATCATCGTGTAATAAAAACTGAAGCATGAGTGTGTATCCGTTTGTTATGGGGAAGAAAAAAAAAAACGAGAATTTTTTTTTTTTTTTAAACTTCAGCGACGTCTTTTCCACTCAGGATCATCCCGGTCTCCACCCTGCCGGGTCACAGGTCACAAGTCACAGCGGGAGTCATGAGCATGTCCCAGTGAAAAGTTATTGTTTCTTTCATCCATTTATCCTGCAGAGATCAGCCGTGTCTGCAGACCTGCAGGGTGTTTCACCCCCATCTTGTGGCAGCTGTGGAATCTGCATCTGTAGCAGAGATGCACAACATCTGTTCCATCCATTGACACGTGCTTCCTAATGTCATCGGACACGGATTCACTCGATATCTGCACGGGGTCACCGTTAAATAGCCAGTCGCAAGAGGGGAGGTCAAATCGAAGGGGACGAGTTAATGAGGGGTGTATTGTCGTCAAAGGCAGCTTTGGGGCTCAAATGGTAAGAAACTTGGAAGGAAAACCTCACCAGAATACATTAATAAAAAAAATCCTCATATCTTATTCTTATTCATAGGAAAAGTATACATGTTTTAACCATGTTTACAATGCATGTACATTAGAGCTGTAGAGAAAATGGCATATCTTTGAAGACCGGTTTGTTTTTACAATTTAAAAGCCTGTAAAACTAAAAAGCAGTCTGCCCGGGTAACCTCTACCGCCATTTTAACTCCCATTTCCTGGACAACCTCTTTCAACAAGTATTTGTTGCTCTCTTAAGTGAATTGGAGCTGAACTGAGCTGAGTTGGGTTTGAAGGGCACGTTTATCCCGTATTTCTAAATATTCCCAGCTTCTCATGCCCATGTGGCTTCCCCTTAAAAAGATCAGCGGCCCGTAGCTTTGCAATGATTAAAAATGAATGCGTTGATGTCGACATTTGAACTTCGTTTGGATTCCATTTGATTCCTGTGTTTTCTCCGAGTCTGCTCTGCATCAATATTACATGCCTACTACTCCAGCAGAAGGGGGATTTCTCTCCCGGTGGATAGCGGTGACCGCAGAGAGCACAAACGCGCTGACCACAAACAACAAAAGTTGAAACTATTCCCTCATGTGGAGACTAAGGAAAGACTTAACGGGAGTTCAATCGTTCCTCTGGATGTGCGAGAATAAAACACAAAGGAAAACAACCATCAATTATTTTTAAAAAGGGAAGAAAACTTGACGCCCAAGTAACCGAACACCCATAATGTTCCCGCTCGTGTGGAATTGCGGTTGGCACGTGGCTCAATTCTTCTTGCAGGACCTTCCATAAAACTCCAGCGATGATGTTTTTAACACCGCAACTCACGGCTACAGTGACCGGAAAACAATTAGAAAAGAGGCGGTAAGGTGACACCCCTGAATGGATCGTTTCTGTGGCCTGTCCAGTGGAGGGCCATTCCGACCCAAGCACCAGTCCATTAACAACCAATTAACTTCCTATTAATATTTTACCAGACAGGGCCCCTCTTCCTGACGTGTTTTTAAGGAGCTTTTCCCAGGAGTGTTTGAACATGAGCAGCTTTTAGCGCAGCATAAAGAGGCCTGTGTAATGGGCTCAAGGAGAAGGAGAAGCAACCCGATAGCACCAAGGAGGGGAGACAGACTCCTGCAGCTGGCCTGTCCCAAGCCGGACCCGGGCCCGAGCCGGGACCAACACTCACACACACACACACACACACACACACAGACACAGACAGACGGCCATGATTTTTGTGTGAGATCACATCACCATAAGTGAGAAAGATTCGATCTGGCTTTCATTTAAGAAATAACAGTAAAGAAATTGAGGGGAGAGAGAGAGTTACAACATGCAACAGAAGGTCCAAAGGTCCTGCCGGGGAACCTTTTGGTTAACGAAGCGCTACATGTTTTTGCAAAGATCTTCCTGATTAGTTTTCCTTTCCATATTGCGGCTGAGGAGCCGTTTTTCTTCCAGGTTTCCCATGAAATAAAGTCTTAAAACAGGAATATACACCTGATCTGCCCTGTAAGGTCGTTTTGGGTGGACATTCAGAACTAGATCAGGAAACTCCCTGCTCTGAGACAAACAGAAAAAGAGAGGAGAACGAGGGAGGGGGGAGGCAGAAAGAGAGAGAGAGAGAGACCATTATGACTACAGCCCGAGGCTACTCCCAACGGAGAAGGCATTTGTCTTCACTTGAAAGTATGATTTATTTTTCCACAAGTCAGAAGGGTTATGTTTGTCACCGCACAGTGAAAACGACTTTTGGAAATAGCAGCGGAGGCAGAAATGGAAAAAGAAATAATAAAAAAAAGGCTTTTCTTATGCCCTCCGCTTTCAAAGACTTCGCCTCCGTGGTTACCGCGTTCAAGATCGCTTTCAGTCTTCATTAACTTTAGGTAATCATACTGAACCTTGCGTCTGATTTATCGGCAGGAGGAGCATGTGTGTGTGTTGATGATTAAGAGAACGGGGGGAATGGTGGAAGAGAAGGGAGGGGGGGGGATGTGGTTGTATCAGGTTCCTTCCACTGGGTGTAGATGTGGTCTTAGATTTCTCTCTGGGCTGCTGATTAACTGGGTGCATGTGTGTGTGTGTGTGAGAGAGAGAGAGAGAGGGAGAGGGAGAGGGGGGGAGAGATCTGGGAAAGCACTGAGGAGGAGAGGAACTTCAGCTTTAATTTCCCCCAGCTCCACATATTACACCCCTGCGCTCTCTGTTTTTATTGGAACAGAGACCTGAAAACACCAAGTGTTTATGAAGCATTAAAACAAGGCGGGGAACTCGAGTGTGGAATTATAAATCTATACATTTGGCTCTGTCTCCCACGAGCAGGATTAATCCTTTTATGTCGGATTCCGTGTGTTTTACGAAAGACAGATGATCAGAGTGAGAGATCACGTTCATCACCTCGACGGGAGGCTGGAGAAAACAGTCCGTCGAGGAAGGGTGGCGGGGTTGGGTGGGCGGATGGATGCAGCACTTTGGGGGGGTGGGGTGCAGACTGAAGGAGTAACCGTGCATCACCCTGTTTGAACACACGGAGCGGGCGAGGAGGCCGCGTTACACCCTACGAACAGTGAGCTGTCAACCACGTACAAAGGGACCACGCGGATTGGATATGGATTACTCACAGAGAAGCGCCGACGGCCTCCATACCTGGAGACACATTAGCTGGCTCTAATTAGAATAAACGCTCGGATGTTTTTGCTTGCGGGCCTCGTCTCGTTCCCCTTGCTGTGTTTCCATCTCGAACGTCGCCTTCTAGGCTTCTCGCCTCCTTCTCTGCACTCAGTTGACTCTCCTCTCGCTCCTTTTTGCCTTGTATCTGTCGCTGGGGGAGCAGTGGAACACCACTAGCTGTGACACAATCAGTGTCTGCCCATGCTCCAGCCATCTCCCCCAAGTTCATTATCTGTAAACAGTGTCCATGCCCGCCCCCCCCATCTCCTCCCAGTCTCAGCCAAACGCGATGTGACAGCGCCGCCAGGGCCCTCATTTACAGCCATCACAGGACAGATTTCCCCCCTTCCCTCAGCCGGCTCCCCCTCGCTTGGTTTTTCTTTTTCTCTGCGTGAGCCGGTGAGCGTGTTGGCGGCGCTCCATTCACCGAAGGAAGGATGCACGTATCTGTGTGTCGGAGCAGGCGAAAGTTGGACCAGGAACATTTGCTCTGTCGGTACCGATCCTTCAAACGACGTGTTGCGACGATGCTGCCCCTTTATGTCCGCCCCTCTCGCTCACACTGGGTGTGTGCATATTTCAAGTAAGGTCCTTCCTTTTCTGTGGCCGTGCTTTTTGGAACACCCTAGGGCAGGCACAGCTGCCACACACACACACACACACTATTGTAACGTTCCGTGTCAATAAAGAGCCAGTTTCTTATCACTCGGATTTATTGTTGCCTGTTGTCGGCCACAGCCACGCCATTCCACAACACCCGGTCATCATTTTAGTCAGAACTCAACTTCCCCTTCCTGTGCTCCCAGACTACCCACATTACCCCGGAAGGGGCGGTACCCCAACCCTGGCCTACGTAACAGTAACATTAATCAGAACCATATAC